GTGTATTTCCTAACTAACAGTAGGAAATACACACAGGGTCATTCATCTTATGTATGCAGATTTACAGGCATGCCTTCTCTGGTTTACCTGTTTGTGTACCAGAGCAGGGACTACCATTAGGAATTCTGTAGGACTCCATCCAGGTTTGTGTAAAAGAAAAGATATTTGCAAATGATAGATGTGGTAGCTGTAACTTGAGTGTGTTATCAAGAAACTTTTAGGTTTAAGATTGTACTCTGGGCTAAGTACACATGATCGTTGCTTGGTTTGACATACTTTTCACCATGTCATTTACTTAGAATACTATAGCACAAATTACGGAGATTAACAGAGGGAGGACAAATACCTTTTGGGTAAGAAGAATTTTTTGTGGGGGTGGGGGTGGGGGTGGGGACAGACTCTTGCTCTGTCATCTAGGCTGGAGTGCAGTGGCGGGGTCTCAGCACGCTGCAACCTCCGCCTCCCAGGTTCAAGTGATTCTCCTGCCTCAGCCTCCTGAGTAGCTGGGATTGCAGGTGTATACCACCATGCTTGGCTAATTTTTGTATTTTTAGCAGAGATGGGGTTTCACCATATTGGTCTCGAACTCCTGACCTCAGGAGTTTTGCCTGCCTCAGCCTCCCAAAGTGTTGGGATTACAGGCCTGAGCCGCTGCACTCGGCCGAATGTTTTATTTTTAAAGATTGTTCCCCTTTATAATTTCCTTTTTTGTGCTAACAATAAGATTGTAAATAAAAAATTCAAAAATCACCCACCCTAATATGTTACTGTTTTCCTCTGCTTCTTTTTTGTTGTTATTATCATGTCCATTTACCCACGTTGGTACACAGTTATAAATAGTTTCAGTGTATGAATATTACATTAATTACATTGATGTACTATCAATGGTACTTGGTCAGATGAATTTTTAGTATTTAGAAACTAAAAATAGTATTTAGTATCCCATATTTCACTGTGATATAGGGAGTTGGCCATGTCAGTAATTTTTTTCTGTGTCTATCAGATCTTGACACAACATTTTTTCTTTTAGAATTATATGTACTTGTCTGGGTGCGGTGGCTCACGCCTGTAATCTCAGCACTCTGGGAGGTTGAGGTGGGCAGATTGCTTGAGCCTAGGAGTTCAAGATTTGTCTGAACAACATGGTGAAACCTTGTTTATACAAAATACAAAAAAAATTAGCTGGGCGTGATGGTGCTCACCTATAGTCCGTGGATAGTTGGACATTTCGGTAATTCCTATTTTTAAGTGTTTGTATTATAGTGATGGTGGCATTTTAGAAGGGTGTATATGTTTCCTGGATGTGATCCTTATGTATAGAAGTATGTGACCCTTTTGGGAGGAGTGTTAAGATAAGTGTATGGCATATGGTGTGTGAATTTGCCAACTTTCAGCAATTGAATATTTCTGCATTTTTAGTGAGAGAATTAACATACTAGCTACTTAAATGTCCCCCTCCCCTGTGATCTCCAGTAATATTTGGATTCTGAGGAACCTTGTTAGTGATGGCTTTGTTGGTAACTTTTTATTTTTTGTTTTGAGACCACTTGGGATTGAATTAAAGACCTGTTCTGTTTTGTTTTGTTTCGTTTTGAGACAGTCTTACTGTGTTGCCCAGGCTAGAGTGCAGTGGTGCCATCTCCGCTCACTGTAACCTCCTCTTCCCCGTCAAGCAATTCTCCTGCCTCAGCCTCCCAAGTATCTGGGACTACAGATGTGTGCACCACTGCACCCGGCTGATAGAGAGAGAGAGAGAGAGAGAGAGAGAGAGAGAGAGTGTGTGTGTGTGTGTGTGTGTGTGTGTTTTAGGGATGGGGTTTTACCATGTCGGCCAGGCTGGTCTTGAACTCCTGACCTCGTGATCTGCCTACCTCAGCTTCCCAAGGTGCTGGGATTACAGGCATAAGCCACCGAACTCAGTCCCTCAAGACCTTTAAAACAATAATTCTTTCAGAAAAAAAAAAAATTAAATGATATCAAAGAAAGATATTAGGATGTTCTGTGTGTGCTTTTATTTTGTGGGGGATACTTTTGATGAATGTAGCAAGTCATTCTTTTTTAGAGTTGCAAAGATGCAAGCATGACCATAATTTTTACATGCTTGTATTAATATGCTGTAGTAACAGGTTTCTGACAGGTGTTTCTTATTATTGAATTTAGCTTGTAATCTAAACTTTGAGGAACAGGCCATAAACATATACTAATTATGGATAACCTGAAAAGTTATGGTGATTAAGTTTCAGCTTTTGGGTCTGTTTATATTAAAAGCAGTGTTACTTGAATTTAATGTTTAGAATTAGAAATACCTGATCATCTCTTACTTTTTAATTTAATAATTAACAGCCTTTAATGGCAGCATATTATGCATGTGAACGTATATTTACTTTAATATGTATTGTTCAGCCTATCTGCAAATGGAATTGTCTGGTTTTCTGTAAGGAGAAGCAGAAGCTGGTTGTTGCTAGATAAGTTTTTTCCCAGAAGGAAAATAGTGATTGAGACTTAATGCAGATTTTACTTCTGCGCTTTATACTCTAAAGCTGTTGGAATGTTAACTCTTTTATGGTAGGTATAAAAATTGGTACATATGATAAAAACCTCAAAGTTTTTTCCAGACACTAGGTGAGAGCTCCACCTTGTGATCTTTGAGCATATTTTTTAAAAGTTAATAACCTACAGTAGTCCAAAAATTTTGTGGTGAGTTTGATTTTTAAACTCATGCTTTTCTTTGAGCATTACATGTTTTTATAGTTTTGGGGGTTAGCCGGCTGAAGTCAAATGGTATTAAGCACATTTGAAGATACTATGAATTTGTTAATGTAAGTCTATGGGGGAAACAAATTGGATGGATGGATGGATGGATTGGCAGAGTCTTACCCCACTGCCCAGGCTGGAGTGCAGGGGTGTGATCATGGTTCACTGCAGCTTCTACCTCCTGGGCTCAAGCAATCCTTCTGCCTCAGCCTCTCAAGTAGTTATAGGACTATAGGTGTGTGTCACCATGCCTGGCTGATTTTTAAATTTTTTGTTGAGATAGGGTCTCATTACGTTCCCCAGGCTGGTCTCAAACTCCTGGGTTTAAGCCATCCTTCCGCCTCAGCCTTCCAAAGTGCTGGGATTGTAGGTGTGAACCATTGTGCATGGCCTGCAACTTATGTTTATATGCAGCTGTAGACATTTAAAATAAAGATAGAAAGATTCTTAGCTCTTCATGTAGATTAAAGTTTACATTTAAAAACTCCTAATCCCAACTCATCCATTGGGTTCCTTCCCTTCTAAATTACAAAGCAGCTTTAATATTTGTAATTTTTGTTGAGCTATGTAATTTTGTTGAACTGTTTCTGTGGCAAATAAGTCATTTAGAGAATGGCTAAAATAGTAAAAACTCGGATACATGGAATTTAACATTCTTATATTTAATAATATTAAGTGGCAAGTAGGTACATTCTAGTAGAAATAATACTTTCACATTTCTTAACAGGTATTATGAACAGGGATCATTGTTGTCCTGTTCACTAATGTATTCTCATTGCCTCAGCATTGCATTTGGCACATGGTGGATACTTTTACTTGGTTGGGTGAATTTTCAATATTTAGAAACTTAAAAAAAAAATTGTATTTCATTAGGATAGGGAACTGGTCAGTTCAATAATTTTTCTGTCTATTAGACCCTGACGTAAGATTTTTTTTTCTTTTAAAAATGTATGTACCTGGTTGGGTGCGGTGGCTCATGCCTGTAATCTCAGCACTTTTGGAGGCTGAGGTGGGGTGAATTGCTTAAGCCCAGGAGTTCAAGACTAACCTCAGCAACATGGTGAAACCCTGTCTCTACAAAATAAGAAAACATTAGCTGGGCCATGGTAGTGTGTGCCTATAGTCCCAACTACACAGGAGGCTGAATTGGGAGGATCGCTTGAGCTTGTGGAGGTCAAGGCTGTAGTGAGTTGTGATTGTACCACTGCCTTCCAGCCTGGGCGACAGAGTAAGATCTTGTCTGTCTGTCTGTCTCTCTTGATTTTTTATATACATATTGCACATGTGCGTGTGCGCACACACACATGCACGCACGCATGCATCTTGTCTTGAGAGACATATCTTACAACTTCAGTTTTGCTTTTGTGTTTGCTTTGGTTTCTAATTACAAAATACATGTTAGTATAGCCTGTGATTTACAAAATAATTTGAACTGGGAAGACTTTTTTCTTTTACACTAGAAATTAATTTTGTGCTATTTAGAAGAATCCAGTATGTCATACAGTATTCATTTTATTTAGTATTCTCTGCTTTTCAGAGCTGATGCATTCTTTATGTTCATTACCTGTGATTCCTTAGGTAACTATATTTAAGAACTATCTTTAAAGTCTTCTTAGAAACTATATTGAAGGAAAGCAGCAACTTTGGTTTTTATGAAATGCTCAGAGAGACAGATACAGCAAGGATCACATGACCACTTTATTTTCATCTTGCTGTGTAGATGACCTGACCTGTTTGTTAGAGTTTATTAGTTCTGTGCCTGTCCAGTTCCTTTTAAAGAAACAAAATGGTTTTCTTTTATAAATAAATTATCATGTTAGGAGATGAATATGTGTCCTATATATGATGACAAACTTCAAAAAAGAAAACATTAACCAGATGTGTTAGCGAGTGCCTGTAGTCCTAGCTACTCAGAAAGCTGAGGCAGAAGGATCTCTTGAGCCTGAGAGTTTGAGGGTACAGTGAACTGTGATCGTGCCACTGCACTCCAGTGTGGGTAACAGGGTAAGGTCCTGTCTCAACAAATACAAGATTTTAAAATTTCTTTATGTTCGAGACAGAGTCTCGTTCTGTCACCCAGGCTGGAGTGCAGTGGCACCATCTCATCTTACTGCAGCCTCCACTTCCCAGCCTCAGCCTCCTGAGTGGCTGGGACTACAGGCGTGCGCCACCACATCCGCCTAATTTTGTATTTTTGGTAGAGATGGAGTTTCGCCATGTTGGCCAGGCTGGCTCGAACTCCTGACCTCAAGTGGTCTGCCCACCTCGGCTTCCCAAAGTGCTGGGATTACAGGCATGAGCCAACTGAGTCTGGCCAAAAACAAGATATTTAAATCTGAGTATCTTTTAGGCAAAAATAAACTCCAAGTGATGGTATATATTATTTGATTATTCAGGATTTAATTTGTGGGTTATTCATTCTTGTTTCTCCTGTTACCTCATTTGTTATTTTGCCGTTCACAAAACATAAAATTAATATTTTGCTGTTTTAGCTTAAGTAAAGTAAGCTAGGAACTGCAATGTTTTGAACTTTGTATATTAATTAAATATTAACCATTTATGATGTGTTCTAGAGGTATAAAGTTATTAAGAAAAATTGAGCTGTTTCTTGTGTGATGTCTAACCTACTGGGAGAAATCATTAGGAGCTTGTCAGTATGTTATATTTGAGCATTTAGTATTAATTGGATATGTTTAACCTTACCTGCTTTTTCTTTAGGTGGCCACCGCGTACTAAATTCACTTGGGAATAAAAGAAAAACATAAAGAAAATTATAAGAGAAAGGTACACACAAGACTAAGAGCTTTAGACTTAAGCTTCAGTCTGTTTTCTCCTTTCTTTGGTCTTAGGTTATTTTCTCATTTAGGAAATGCATCCTTGACTTTCAAAACATAGACATAATACCCTTTCTATCTGCCATTCTTGCATGTACTTTGGTCAAAAATGGCATTTATCTGTTGTTCATATGACATTGACGTTTAAATTGATCCTAAGTTCCTTGAGGGGGTGGAATAGGTCAAATCTAACATTGTTTTCTCCTTCTCTTCTCGACACAGTTTGTTATTATCATGAAGTGATTATTTATTTAATAAGCCAGGCTTTGGACTGTGTTTCCAGGGTAGGAAAACCCGTTTTTAAATTGTATCTCAGGTGTTTTTTATTAGCTCTTTTTAACTGTTTGTGTATGATATCAATGAAAGCCTGTATTTTCAGGCATCTCATATTCTGGTTTAAGTTCTCATAGGGATTTCAGAACCAGCAAGAGTCATATCCTGTTCCTATTTAGGATGTATTGATGTTTATGTACATAATGCCAGGCAGAGAATCACAAGAAAATTTAAAAACAATCGTTTTACTAGCTTCTTTTTTTCCTGTGTGTTATTACTATGGGGCTACAAGTGTTACAACAAATCCATATCTAAAATAAGCAGTCAAGGCCGGGCATGGTGGCTCTCACCTGTAATCCCAGCACTTGGAGAGGCAGAGGTGGGTGGATTACCCGAGGTCGTGAGTTCGAGACCCGTCTGGCCTACATGGCAAAACCTCATCTCTACTAAAAATACAAAAAATAGCTGTGCGTGGTGGTCTGTGCCTGTAATCTCAGCTACTTAGGAGGCTGAGGCAGGAGATTCACTTGAACCCAGGAGGCAGAGGTTGCAGTGAGCTGAGATGGTACCACCGCACTCTGGCCTGGGTGACAGACAGAGTCAGACTAAGTCTCAAAAGAATAAGCAGTCAAATGCAAGGGAATGAAATCCTTATTTACTAAAACACATTAGCAGGCACTGGGGAATTAAGCTTTTGAGTATGGATATCCTTTTTCAATATTTTTGGTGTGTTTATAGTAAATAATGTCATTTTCCCCCTTTTAAAGGAATTGTCTTAGAAGAAAGAAGCAAGCCATCATTTTACCCACGTAAATATATGAATATATTTCTGACATTGAGGTGTTCCAGAAGATGATAAAGAAATGATAGCAGCTCCAGAAATACCAACTGATTTTAATATACTACAGTAAGTAAATTGCAGTCTGATAATTTTTAAATGCTTGTTTATTCCACAAAATGGGGAGTGCATTAACTTCAGTTAAATGTCCTTCTGCTTGAGAAGATCTGATATATAAAATAGCTTGTATGTTTTGCAAGAGTTTATATCAGCACTCATCAAGGTTCTGTAATAGTAATCATTCCATTTTTTTGTTGCTGTGTTTTAAATTTATCTTTTAGTTTACGTGCTGCACAGTTTATTATTTTTTTGTTGTGTAGTTCTGAGTTTATGCTTGGTTTTGCAATAGCAACTGTTAGTGAGGAATATGTACCACGTAGTAGTAGTAATATTTAGGATGTAATGTCAAATTTCTGTTAAAAAATCAAATGATGATTGCAGAAACCAGTTACATGTATATTGGTCCATAAAGTGATTTCAACATAGGTATCCTCTTTACTCTCAACTAAACAACTAACTGTACTCCTTATCAGCTTTTATTCTAATAATTTCTTGGTTTTGAATGATTTTGAACTACTCTATGTAACAGTGATTTTCATACTAAGCTACAGTTTCATGAGTTGCCTCAGTGAAAAGTGAACTTTTAAATTGCCTGTGAATCCCTTTATTTACCCACCCCCGCCACTGTATTTTTTATTAGAATCTTTATTAGACTTGACTTGAAAAGAGAGCTTACTTGCTAAAAATTTTGAAAACAACAGACCAATACTGTTGTACATAATGGCAGCCAGCGTCTACTTTGGGTTGTATGTGGATTTTTATACTTTTAATAATTTTGTTATCTTTGGTGGAGATTATGAGGCTTCTGGGACCTCATACATTCAGATTCCCACAAAACAGCGTTTTTAGTGAGGATTTTATGTATTCTAAGTGTAATATCTTTGTAAAAGTTAATTGTTACCTTTGTTAATATTAAGTGTTCACTGTATACAGGATGTTACATTCGATTCTGTGAGGAATTAAGTTAGGTACTTCCTGCTGCCTTTATGAATTCTTTTTTTTAAAGATATAAAGAGAAGATTATGAAGTTTCTTATATACTTGATTAGAGACTATTAAAAAGGTTTGTATTATGGGCTAGACTGTTGACTGTTAGAATATCTCAAATAATTAGGACCTGAAATAGGATAATGAATAAAAGGGAATTGATGTTATAGGGGTAGAACAGAACCAGCATTTGATTAGGCATGTGGGTTGGAGGGCACAGTAAAGGAATGGAAGATTCAGTCGTGTGATAGATGACTCATGATGTTTCAGATCACTGAATGGTTAACACACTATGTTTAATAAACGTAAATGTTATTTCACTTAGGTTAAATTTTGTTCTTTTGATCTTTTTTGTTTTGTTTTTAATTTTTGTTCTTTTGATCTTAAAAACACAGGGTAGCATTGAAGAATGGCTTAGGAGAGTATTTCTTTTCTGGTTGGGAGTATTTTAGACTTCCATTCTGATTACTTAAGCTTTCTTCAGAAGGTTTTTCAGTTAGTAACCAAATCGCTAGTGGTTTACTCTTAGTTGGGATAGTTTGGAGATGAGTATTAAGAGTATAATTGAGCCCTTCATTACTCTGGCAATTGGAGCATTGTGAATATTTTCTGCGGACTTAAAGCAGTTACTTAGCTCTCTAAGAGAACTGGTGTCCCACAAAAGGCTTGGGAAGAAATAAATATTATTTGTACATCAAGATATTTTAAATTTTCATTTTTTTTGCAAGACCATATAGACACGTGAAAAGATTATTGATGACAACAATCTTCTTAAGATGTAGCAGGCATAAGCTTCAGGGCTAATATTACAGTAGTCATTCAGTTTTTGGTGCAGTAACTTGGGAATGGTATTTATTACAGGCCCTTACCTCTCAGCATTGTAGCATATAGTTAGGATTGCCACCACCTTCCATACAGTGTTTAAATTACTTTATAGGTAAGTGCTATAAATAGTAATTTTTTTCCTGTTAGCATCTTAATCATTATTTTAGATTTATGAAGTGGTCCTATCTCACAGCCTCTGCTACCTCATAGCCTCTGGGCAACTGGTTATTGTAGCAATAAAATGGAAATAGAAGAAATCTAGATTGAGAATAAGAGTTTTATAAAGATAGCCTTTCACTTTGATTCCATTTATTTTAAGCAAAGCTGGTGCTAGGTTTACACATTTTGGATGGAAAAACCTTTATCTTTTATGGATGTGGCTCAATTCTAAAATCCAGTGTGACCCAAATACTAATATAAGTATGCTTTGCTTTAAGCATTTAAATGAGAGTATGTTACTACTATTTAGATAGACCTCATGTTTACTCATATAGAAAGTATCACACATGTTTATTTAAATCAGTCTGCTTCCATATGTTTGTAAGAAAATCCAGTTTATACAAACTAGCCTTACCCCCACCCAGAACAAGGGACAGTTGTTTAGGACTGTAGATTCATATGTTGGAGATTGTAGAGAATTTAGAGATTTCATACTTTCCTGCATATACATTATTTATATATAAGAAGATTGAGGTTGTCACTTATATAAGATCCACAGTTACTTAGTACCAAAACTGTTCTAACTGTAGCTCATCACCTCTTTACTTCATAAAGGGTATTGATCACTTAGCATAATTCCCTAGTGTATTTCAGATGATTTAGTTTATAAAAATGTTTTATAAATACCCTTTCAGAAATGCATGTTTTGTATATTGACTCACCTAGATATATAAATATTTTTCGAGTGAGGTAGGAGAGGTCAGAGGATCCATAATGATAAAACTCCCTAATAAAGTTCCTCCAGTGCCTAGTATTAAAATAGTTTTTACTCAGCACTATGGTCTTTGAACCAGAAAATGGAACCAGCCATTACATGGAACACCACAGTTCCTAGGGTTAAATTTTGAGACCCACTGGATTAGTTTTATACTTTGATTAAAAATTAACAACAATGTTTAGATATTTGTACTTTAGATTTTTTTATAGTTGTTTATATAATCTTGTGTGTTTGGTAATGTGCTATAATATGATATTTTGGGGAAACATCTTAATTACTTATAATGCTAATATGAAGTTTTGTAATGAGTTAACCAAGCCTTTATTTTAGAAAATCTGGCAAAAATTAGAAACTCAATATAAATTTCTAAGGAAGGTTTTAAATTATTGCTTATCTTTCTGTCACAGGGAGTCAGAGACACATTTTTCTTCTGACACAGATTTTGAAGATATCGAAGGAAAAAACCAAAAGCAAGGCAAAGGCAAGGTATGTATCAAATATGTGACTTTATTTTTATTCTTAAGATCTCTCACACAGATTTAGGTTATGTCTCAGATAGTTTAGTCTTTTAAAAATGGCTTTTTAAGGGGGTGGAGGCTGACTGGTATGGTAAGCCTTCTGAATAAATGTGGTCCTTTTGTCTTCTAGACCAGATAGCTTTTGGGATCTCTTTACGCTGCTGTAAAGTTGCAATTACTACTACTACTACTAATAATAATACATCATTGTTTCCGGTAGTTTATTATGTAAGGCACAGTATTTTAAGCAAAATGCAATGTTCTGTTGGCTTTATTTTTGTTTTCCCACAAGTAATGTAAAGCAAAGCAATCTCTTATTCTAAAGCACTCTAAAAATGTAACATACAACATTTTAAGGCTAATGGGTTACAATTGACAGTAGTTTTACTCTTTGTAAGTAATGTGAAAGATTAAAAAATAACAAAGTTAAGTTCTTAGTCATTACAATGTAACTTTAGAATATGAATGGGTTGGCCTGAGGACTGCAGATAACTTGGCAAATGGTTAAATTATTTTGTTGTTTTGGAAAGTACATTTGACTCTGCATGTGTGTAAATACATTATGCATAAGATAACTTGTTTTTGTTGTTCAGCATTTGTTTTTCAAAATGAATTTTGGATTTATATTGTCTCATGACATACTTTGAAAAAGTCTTAACAATACAGAAGTTTACGATGACCAAAGTGAAATTTTTCCATAATCCTATCACCCAGAGGTAATTTATTCTTTAAACATTTTGATGCACATACTTTTATTCATACACCTATGTATAAACATGGATATTACATTTTATTTAATTGGAGTCATAATATGCAAACAGTTTAATGTGCTTTTAAAATGCAGTGTTATGTTATCAACAACTTTCCTGTAAGTCAATGTAAAACTCTGTAACTTTTATTATTTATTTTAATTTTAAGATAACATTTATTTATTTATTTTTATTTTGGAGATAGGGTCTCACTATGTTGCCTAGACTGGAGTGCAGTGGCTGTTCACTGGCACAGTCATGGCACACTACAGCCTCAAACTCTTGGGCTGAAGCAATTCTCCTGCCCCAGCCTCTCAACTGGACTACAGGCCCCACAGTCTTGTGCCTCCATATCTGACTTCTCTGTAGTTTATTTTTTGTTTTTGTAGAGATGAGATTTCACTATGTTCCCCAGGCTGGTCTTGTACTCCTGGGCTCAAGTAATCCTCCTGCCTCAGCCTCCCGAAGTCCTGGGATTATAGGTGTGAGCCACCACGCCTGGCCATTCTGTTGTGATTTCTAATGGTGGCACTGACATCACATTTAATGTATGGGACATTATTTAATGCTTGGAATATTTTTTGAGTGCTCATAATTCATGTGTATCATAATTTTGTGTGCTGTCTTATTTCCTTAAGAATTTGTGAGGGGGATATGTATAGAAATGTTAATTTATGGCTATCCAAAGATAACCTTTATTCTTTTGGACAGTATACATTAACTCATTACAATATCATTTTTTCCCATTAACCTACTTTTGCCTTTGATTTAATTTACAAGTTTGAACAAGATTCTTGGTGGCACCTGAGTAGAGGACTCTTTAAAGTTTTTGTGCTACAATTTGGTTATGGTTATATAGCTACTACTGTGGGTGAGGTGTTGGGACAAATCAAGGATTTATTATAATAATAGCAACTGAATTTTGACACTATACTATGTATGTTCCATGTGTTTCACATTAACAGTTTCACATGTTAATCTAATATTTGAACAACTGTGTAGATGAGAAAACACCATTATTTTATTGGTAGGAAACTGAATTCCAGAGAAACCCAGAGGTTAAAGGATTTGAGCTCAGGTCTGTGCCTTTAAGCCTGTATGTTATACCACCTCCTAAAGTCTTCATGTAGAAAATTTTTTTCTTTCCAAGATTGTACACAGGTTAGCATATTTGCTTCTTGTGTAATACTTTCTTTTTATTATCACTCCTTGCACATTTTTTTTTCTAGCATGGCCTACCCGTTCTGCCATTTTAATTGTCCCAAATTGTTTTTCATACTGACAGGGACTATTGAGTCATCTAATAGATAAACTACAAATATATAGCTCCATGTTAGTTAACATTTTATATTTTACTAGTGTACTGTGTTATAGTTGATTTTTCTTTCAACCTTGTCTCTGAAATTCCTTTTACTGGGGACGAAAGCTTTTTATTGTACAATTAGGCATTAATGAATTAGGTTCACAAAGACTGAATCTCATTTACAGAATATAGCAGTCCCTGCTATTCTCAGGGATACATTTTAAGACCCCCCCAGTGGTTGCCTGAAACAGGGGATAGTGCTAAATCTTGCATATAGTACATTTTTTCAATATGGTAACCGAAATGGCTAGTAAGTGACTAATGAGCTGCGTGGATACCCTGGACAAAGGGATGATTCATGTCCCGGGTGGGATACAGCAGAATGATGAGTGATTCTATCATTTGGAATGGTCTGCAATTTAAAACTTTTGAATTGGTTATTTCTGGAAATTCCTACTGAATATTTTTGGACAGCAACAGACCAAGGGTAACAGAAACTAAATAAAGTAAAACTCAAGGGAGGACTACTGTATTGTAACTTAACAAGTAATATGTTTCAGGTGTTGGGAAGGGATTTGAAGTAACTGTTAAAGAGTCGAGTAGTTTTGGACTCCTGGAGGAAGAAGGGACCCTCTAAATAATAAAGTACATAAATACCACAGGCTTTCAGTGGAAAGAAATTTGTAGGCATGGCTATAGATCAGAGATGCAAAAACTATGGCTTGTTTTTGTGCTGTCCAGGAGCTAAGAGTAGTTCATATATATATATATATATATATAATTTTTTATTTTATTTTATTTTATTTTTTACAGGGGCAGGGTCTCGCTCTATTGACCAGATTGGTTTTGAACTACTGGCCTTAAGCAATCTTCCAATCTCAACCTCCCAAAACTGGGATTACAGGCATGAGCCACTGCTCCCAGGCCTGTTTTTTTGTTTTTGAGACAGAGTTTTGCTCTTGTTGCCCAGGCTGGAGTGCAGTAGCGCGATCTTGGCTCACTGCAACCTCCGCCTCCTGGTTCAAGCAATTCTCCTGCTTCAGCCTCCCGAGTAGCTATTACAGGCATGCACCACCACCCCCAGCTAATTTTGTATTTTTAGTAGAGACAGGGTTTCTCCATGTTAGTCAGGGTGGTCTCGAACTCCCGATTTCAGGTGATCTGCCCGCCTCCGCCTCCCAAAGTGCTGGAATTACAGGCATGAGCCACTGTGCCTGGCCCAGTCCTGTTTGTTTGCTTATTTATTTATTTATTTATTTATTGAGACGAAGTCTCACTCTGTCACCCAGGCTGGAGTGCAATGGCGTGATCTCTGCTCACTGCAACCTCCGCCTCCCGGGTTCCAGCGATTCTCCTGCCTAGGCCTCTCAGGTAGCTGGGATTGCTAGCATGTGCCACTACGACCGGCTCATTTTTGTATTTTTAGTAGAGATGGGGTTTCACCCTGTTGACCAGGCTGGTCTTGAACTCCTCACCTCAGGTGATCCACCCACATTGGCTTCCCAAAGTGCTAGGATTACAGGCGTGAGCCACCATGCCTGGCCCTGTTTTTATATATATGTTTGGAGATGGAGTCTCGCTCTGTTGCCCAGGGTGGAGCACAGTGGTGTGATCTCGGCTCACTGCAACCTCCACCTCCTGGGTTCAGGCACTTCTCTTGCCTCAGTCTTCTGAGTAGCTGAGACTACAGGTGCATGCTTCCATGACCGGCTAATTTTTTGTATTTTGGTAGAGATGGGGTTTCACCGTGTTGCCCAGGCTGGTCTTGAACTCCTGAGCTCAGGCAGTCCGCCCACCTTGGCCTCCCAAAATGCAGGATTACAGGTGTGAGCCATGTGCCAGGCTGTTTTTATATTTTTAAATAGTTTTAAAAATAAAGCATATGCTACAGAGAGACTGTGTGTGGCCCACAAAGCCTAACATATTTACTATATAGTACTTTACAGAAAGTTGGCCAGTGCTTGCTCTTTAGATCATAGAGATGTGTTGTTCTAAAAGAGGCCTTTAAGAAGCCACCAAATCCACGGGCCATAATACCTTTCTGTAAAGTATTTTAATTCAACCCTGACATTTGAGAAATGAGGACTCTGAGTTAGGAAATGGCTTGTTTTCTTAAAGTATAAGAGCTGTAGTAGGTATTTTTATAGCTTAGGCAGATAGGGAAACTTTTCACTGATTTTTTTGTTTTTTGATGCCCCTACCCTCCAATACTGACAACTTTTGTTATAATGGGCTTCTTTTCCATAGTTTTCATTAATTGAATTTTCTTTCTTTCTTTTCTTTTTTTGAGGCGGAGTTTTGCTCTTGTCGCTCAGGGTGGAGTGCAGTGGGGTGATGTCAGCTCACTGCAACCTCCCGTGTTCAAGCAATTCTCCTGCCTCAGCCTCCTGAGTAGCTGGCATTACAGGTGCCTGCCACCATGCCTGGCTAATGTTTTGTATTTTTAGTGGAGATGGGGTTTTGTCATGTTGGGCAGGCTGATCTCGAACTCCTGACCTCAGGTGATCTGCTTGCCTCGGCCTCCCAAAGTGCTGGGATTATAGGCATGAGCCACCGAACCTGGCTAGTAATTGAATTTTCATGATGAATAAATGTTAGAGGGAGGCCTAGAACGAGAAGAAGATTGATAAACCTACTCCTACTCTTCAGAATTTCTTGTTCAGAGCACTGCAGTGATTTCTAAGACTAACAATAAAAATAAAATGTTGAACTGAGAATAAGGTACATATTTGATAACGAGTTTGGTTATTCTTGCTGCCCACTTCAATATGCATCCAAAAGCTGCATAAGAGAGTAATATAAAACTTGGAGATAGCTACCTTGATTTACTGTGCTCTTGGGATTTCTCTGATGATACTTGAGAGAGATTTTTGCAGTGTTTTTCAAAACTTTCTTGATATTTTGAGGGCTTTTAATGCTGTGTTTTTATATTACTTTTCAAAACAGATTCAAATCTGTATTTGTGTCATTGTTTCTGTTGGTCTTCCTACCAGATTAAGATTCATGTAAGATTAACTGAGCTCCTTTTAACATATATTTTTTCGTTTTACAGTGATAATAATAGCTGGCATTTTTCTGACTTTATTATATCCTGGCTATGTTTCTAAGTACTTTGTGTTTTTGTTATCACAGCAACCCTATGAGGTAGGCACAGTTTTATCCTCACTTTACAAATTAGAAAAACATCACTGAAACATAGTGTGGTTAAGTAATTTGCCTAAAATCACTCAGCTGATAGTAGCAGAAATTTACACCCACAGAGTCTGTCTGCTTGCAGAGGCTATGCTTCTAACTACAGTGTCATGTGAGACATGGTAGTACACATGAAAAAGTGGTCACGACAAAGAGGCTATCACAGTCATCAGTTTGTTATAAGTGGATGGAATTCTTTAGGGCAAGTTTAAGCATGTTATAATTATGTACGCTATCAGCTGCTTCTACTGTAGCTGTGTTTGAACTCTCAAGGATAGTGATATAGCTTAACCACCTCCTATTTTTTATGCAGACTTGTAAAAAAGGCAAAAAGGGCCCAGCAGAAAAGGGCAAAGGTGGAAATGGAGGAGGAAAACCTCCTTCTGGTCCAAACCGAATGAATGGTCATCACCAACAGAATGGAGTGGAAAACATGATGTTGTTTGAAGTTGTTAAAATGGGCAAGAGTGCTATGCAGGTAAGATTGATGTTGTTCTTCCGAGTTCATTTGTACTTTTTAAACTTTATTGAGTTATACAGAGTGTAGCCCTGATTTTTCTAATTGCATCTTATTTATTTATTTTTTGTTTATTTTTGTGGGACAGAGTCTCCCTGTGTCACCAGGCTAGAATGCGCTGGCGTGATCTTGGCTCACTGCAGTCTTTGCCTCCTGGTTCAGGTGATTCCCCTGCCTCAGCTTCCCGAGTATCTGGGACTGTAGGCACATACCACCATGCCTGGCTGATTTTTTTGTATTTTAGCAGAGACAGGGTTTCACAATGTTGGCCAGGATGGTATCGATCTCCTGACCTGGTGATCCGTCCACCTTGGCCTCCTAAAGTGCTGGGATTACAGGCGTGAGCCACCATCCCTGGGCTTCTAATTGCATTTTAAACATACACTACTTACTAGAGAAAAAAAAAACAAATTCATCAGTAAGCTCTTGGGATGTATTTCTTTATATATAAGACTTTCAAGCTGTCTCTTGATTCATTTTCTGCTGCATTTTTTTTTGAGACAGAGTCTTGCTCTGTTGCCCAGACTGGAGTACAGTGATGTGATCTCGCCTCACTGCAACCTCCACCTCTCGGGTTCAAGCAATCCTGCTGCCTCAGCCTCCAGGTAGTTGGGATTACAGGCATGCACCACCACACCTGGCTAATTTTTGTATTTTTAGTAGAGATAGTGTTTCACTATGTTGGCCAGGCTGGTCTCGAACTCCTGCCTTGGTCTCGAAAATCTGCCTGCCTTGGCCTCCCAGAGTGCTGGGATTACAGGCGTGAGCCACCATGCCCAACTCATTATTTTTTTAATGGCATAAAGTAAAAAAAAAAAATTTGGTCAGAAATATGCTGATGTAAACCATGGCTATGAGGTCTCAATTTGCCCTGAATTTATGTAGCTGCCATTAAAATATGAAGTCTTCTACCCATGTTGAATTCCTGGTTGAGTGATGTAATAGAATTACTGTCTACTTTAATAAATTGAATTATTTTGGTCCGTGTTGTCTATTACAAATTTTATTATTTGTGCTTGTTTCTTAGAAGAATAAAATGTTGGAGGCGTATTCATGTCAAATCATTCAATGTTTTCTCTGCATACTTTTATGACAATAGTAACATTTAAGTTTTCTAATGTTGGCTAAACCCATATGGTTTTAAAAAGTGGAATAATATACTCAAGGAATATGTATACTTAATAACGTTTGAATATAATTTATAAAAGCTACAGGAAATAGTTTTTTTTAAATTTCAACTTTTAGATACAGGGGTTACATGTACAGGTTTGTTATATGAGTATATTGCACCTAGGAAATGAGCATAGTATCCAGTGGATAGTTTTTCAGTTCCCACCCCCCACCCCATTAGTTTGCAGTGTCTATTTTTCCTGTGTTTGTGTCCACGTGTGCTCAATATTTAGCTTCCACTTACAAGTGAGAACATGTGGTATTTGGTTTTCAGTTCTGCGTTAATTCGCTTAGGATTATTGCCTCCAACTCTACCCATGTTGCTGTGAAAGACACAATTGCATTCTTTTTTATGGCTGTAGGGAATAGTATTTCTTCATAGAAATAACTTGAATTAGTGATGGGTACACATGAATGGTTTTCTGAGAACTAGCCATTCAGGCTTTTTGTTAATAAAAACTGAAACAAAACCTTGTTTAGAAATATACAATTAGCTTAATATGTGTGGTTTTGTAAATAAAATGTATCAAATGAGACTAACAAAGAACAGTTTTACATGTAAAATATGAAAATACCTGTTAATTTTTTGAGCTTTCACCAATTTTACAGAGCAAAGAACTTAAAAGGTGCCAGATTTACTTATACCATTCTAATGTGCCTTTGTTTATCCATTTATTAATGTTTGCTTGTATATTATTGTGATTAGAGTATGGATTCTTTTTCTTGTTTAATGTTTTAAATTACTGTTTTGAATATGTTTGGCTTTTCAAAAATAAATAATGTCTTATTATATTATTGTGCTATGATTTATTTCGTCATTCCTCAATTTTAAAAATTACTTTTCTCTCTCTAGTTCTCCTTTTGGGTTATTTTTATCAAGAGGATAAATTATTTCAGTTACATTATATTGCATTTAATTACTTTCCCTCTTATTTTTATATTATACATTTTCTCTGTAATATTTTGTTCTAAGTAGTTAAATGCATTAACTTTCTTTCTTCAGCTGTCTTTTTAACATCAGTGTCCTTAGTCCATTTGGGCTGCTATAAAAAACCAACATAGGCCAGACGTGGTGGCTCAGGCCTATAATCCCAACACTTTGGGAGGCCGAGGAGGGTGGATCACCTGAGGTCAGGAGTTCGTGACCAGCCTGGCCAACATGGTGAGACCCCGTCTCTACTGAAAATACAAAAATTAGCCAGCCGTGGTGGTGGGTACCTGTAATCCCAGCTACTCGGGAGGCTTAGGGAGGAGAATCTCTCGAACCTGGGAGGCGAAGGTTGTGGTGATCTGGGATTGTGCCATTGCACTCCAGCTTGGGCAATAAGAGTGAAACCCTGCCAACAACAAACAAACAAAACACACACACAAAAAAAAACGAATATAAACTAGGAAGCTTATAAAAAATAAACTTATTTCCCACAGCTCTGAAGGCTGGGAAGTCCAATATTAGGTGCGTGCCAGATTCATTATCTGGTAAGGGCCTGTTTTCTTGTTCACAGATGGCATCTTCTCACTGTGTCCTCACATAGTGGAAGGAACAAGGCTTTCAGGGGACTCATGATTTAATTGCCTTCTATAGGCTTCACTTCTTAATACCATAACATTGGTGACTACAGTTCAAGATATAGTTTGAACATACAACTATTCAGACCACAGCTATGAGAAATCCTGACTCATGGCCGTGGCTAATTAGGCTATTCCATTTTTGTCTAAAAATGAATATTTTCCTTAATTTTTATGTTGCTTAGGTTTGTCATATTAAGATTGTACCTCTTATCTGTGCCATTTGGGTTTTTTTTTCTTTTCTAAGGTAGGGTTTCACTATCTTACCCAGGCTGGACTTGAACTCCTGGGCTCCAGCAATCCTCATGTCTCAGCCTCCCCAGTAAGTGGGACTACAGACACATGCCATTGCGCCCAGCTTGTTTTTTGTTTTGAAATGTGTTTCCCTCTTAAGAGAGAATGTCTGCAGTATCTATCTCTTCATTGATTTCCTGGAATCTCTTCCCCAGTTCCATTTTGCTATGTGTGTTCCCACTTGTGTTACCCTTTTAAGACCAAATTTGATGGAGGAAGTCCTCTATTTAGAAACTTCCAAGGGTTCTTTCTTACCTAAAATTTATAGCCCAGATTTCCTTATGCCATATTTTCTGTCCTCCAGTCACAGTGTATACTCTGTCCCTAGGCTTTTCTTTTTGTTTTTATTGTTGTTTGGAATAGTTTTCTTTTACTCCCCCTTTGCATATCAAATAGGACTGAGTGAATTAAATGTCACTCTTCTAAAGAGCATTCTCAGACACTGTCTACTACTTTTCCTTTCCAATGTGTTTTTTACTCTTTTCATTGTATAGCGCTTATACTGTGCCTCGCTTTGATTCTAGATTGCTAATTCTTTAGTCAAGGATCATGTATTATTCATTATTTTTGCATTGTTAGGATACACCTATCTCAGTTATTATTTGAGACAAGGTCTCACTCTGTCACCCAGGCTGGAGTGCAGTGGCGTGATCTTGGTTCACTGCAACCTCCACCTCCTGGGTTCAAGCGATTCTCGTGCCTCAGCCTCCTGAGTAGGTAGGATTACAGGCACATGCCACCATGCCCAGCTAATGTTTTTAGTACTTTTTGGTAGAGACAGAGTTTCATCATGTTGGCCAGGCTGGCTATCTTAGTAATTGTAAGTGAGAGTCAATAAATACAAGACTAGCTGTTGGTTTAAAAGTAGTTGTTACTGTTTAAGAATGGAGAAAGTATGTAGATGCCCCCTAATTTTCTTACATAGCAGATGTTGAATCTTGCTACGTAAGTTCTAAGCATACAATTTGATTAAAAATTTTAAGCATATTTCAGTAGCTCACATTATTTTTATTATTTTTTTACTTATTTTCCTAGTGTAAACTCTACTTGATCTTCATGAATTACTTTTTAATGTGATGTAGTATTCTCTTTGTAAGAGTTCATTGAATATTTTGTATCTTTATTGATGAGAGTAGCCATTGTTCCAGTTATCTGTTGATGCATAACAAACCACCCCAAACTTAGTGATGTAAAACAGCAATCATTTTATCATGCCTAATGATTCTTTGGGTCTGGAATTGAGACAGAACTAAGTGGAGATGATTTGTCTCTGCTTTATTATGGCTAGGGCCTTAGCTGGGACCACTTGAATGCTTGGCAGTAACACAGTTAGGGACTATAATCATTTGGAAGCTTCTTTACTCATGTTTAATGCCTAGTCTGTAGTGATACGAAGGCTGGGCTTAGCCAGAACTGTTAGCTGAGTACCAGCAAATGGCCTTTGTGGCTATGGCTTCTTACAGTATGGCTTTTGGGTTGGAGAGAATGTCCTGAGAGTACTGTCCAGTTTGCCAGTGCTCCAAGAGACCGGTGCAGTTTCTGCCTGGCATTCTGTGACCTAATTTTGGAAGCATCACTGCATTTTGTTCTAGAGAAGATGGCATAGACTCTGCCTCTTATTGGGGAGCAATGTCCAAGAATTTGGGGCCATGTTTGAAAACTGTCACCATCCCTATGATATATTCTTTTGCTGTTTATTGCCTATATCATATTGGGAAAAATATTGAGCACATTTCTTTCATAAATTATGTTGGTTAATGTACACTAGCTGTTCTAAATACAAAAGAGTAGAAATTAAGTAAAGTTTTAGAATAATTCCAGTCAGTCTATCTGAACAAGGTATTTCTTTTTGTTTTTTCATACTAGCTCGTTAGTAGTAGATCCAAATGAACCAGGTATTTCTTAGATATTGCCCTTCCTTCCTTCCCTCCTTCCTTCCTTCCTTCCCTGCTTCCCTCCCTCCCTCCCTCCCTCCCTCCCTTCCTTCCTTCCTTCCTTTCCTTCCTTTCCTTCCTTTCTTTCCCTCCCTCCCTCCCTCCCTCCCTCCCTTCCTCCCTTCCTTCCTTCCTTCCTTCCCCCCCCCGTCTCTTTCTTTCTCTCTTTCTCTCTTTCTTTCTTTCTTTTCTCTCTTTTCTTTCTTTTCTTTCATCTTTCTTTCTTGACAGGCTTTCACCATGTTGGTCAGGCTGGTCTTGAACTCCTAACCTTGTGATCTGCCCACCTCGGCCTCCCAAAGTGCTAGGATTACAGGCATGAGCCACCGTGCCCAGCCTTTTCTTAGATATTTCCTTGATTTATCTTTATTGTGTAATCATAGTATCTTTTTGGTCTATTAAATTCTACATTTTTTAGTCATTGTTTGTACCTGGATTTCCTGTTTATTGGTGTATAACTTAGAAACATTTCCCTCTCCCAACCTTTTGTTTTTTACACTAGCTCTTATGATCTTGATTTTATTTGCTCTATTTAAAAAAAAAATTTTTTTTTTGAGACAAGAGTCTTGCTCGGTCACCCAGACTGGAGTGCAGTGGTGCAACTTCGGCTCACTGCAACCTTCATTTCCCAGGTTCAAGTGATTCTCCTGCCTCAGCCTCCTGAGTAGCTGGAATTACAGGCATGCACTACCACACCCAGCTAATTTTTGTATTTTTAGTAGAGATGGAGTTTCACCATGTTGGCCTCTTGAACTTCCTGACCTCGGGTGATCTGCCTGCCTTGGCCTCCAAAAGTGCTGGGATTACAGGCATGAGAGCCACAGCCCCCGGCCTAAAAATTGTTTTTTTTAAAAATCAGTTTTGTGGTTGCCTCTCTCACCTCCAAAGAAATAAAGTACTCCTTTTATTTTTTAGTTCTAGCCTATTTTCTTTTTTAAGAAATAAGCATATTGAGATATATTGACCATACTATAAAATTTACTCTTTAAAATACAAATTCAGAGTTGCACAGCCACCATTACAATATAGTTTTAGAATATCTTTATTATTATTATTATTTTTTGAGATGGAGTCTCTCTCACTCTGTTGCCCAGGCTGGAGTGCAGTGGCATTATCATGGCTCACTGCAACCTCCACTTCCTGGATTCAAATGGTTCTCCTGCCTCAGCCTCCCGAGTAGTTGGGATTATAGGTGTGCACCACCACCCTGGCTAATTTTTCTATTTGTAGTAGAGACAAGGTTTCCCCATGTCGGCCAGGCTGGTCTTGAACTCCTGACTTCAATTGATCCACTCACCACTGCCTCCTAAAGTGCTGGGATTATAGACATGAGCCAGCACACCTGCCCTGTATTGTCTTAATTATTTGAAATCCTCCCCTACCTTTAATGTCACTAAGAAATAATAAGTAATTACACTTGATGGAATTGATTTCCATGGTTAGTTTCCACATTCTTTTCAATGCAAAATAAATAGAAGATTGATATGTCATTTTGTGTTATCAGACAATTGTTTTACTGAATTTGATTATTTTATTGTTAAAATTGAACTTTAAATTTCAATATGTAAGTATTTATATTAATTTAAAGTATTATGATACTATATAACCTTGAATTGATTTTGAGAAAATTGGAAGAAGCTAATGATTTTATTTTTTTTCCCTCTGCTGTAGTCGGTGGTAGATGATTGGATAGAATCATACAAGCATGACCGAGATATAGCACTTCTTGACCTTATCAACTTTTTTATTCAGTGTTCAGGCTGCAAAGGTAAGATATATTTATTTTTAAATCAGCGGCTCTCAAATAGTCACATCATTGTTCCACCTAGAGAGATGCTGTTAGCACTTTACATGGAAAATAATGCTAAGGCATTATTTGCATAATATTCATACAAAATTTGTAAGGAAAAAAAGAGTAAAGGACAAAATAAGAAAGTCTGTTGATAAAGTTATATTCATATGTGAAAGTTATCTAAAAACTTAGCAATTTATAAAGGTTATGTTACCTTTTTTTCTTTTTTTTTTTTTTTTTGAGACGGAGTTTCACTCTTGTTACCTAGGCTGGAGTGCAATGGCGCGATCTCGGCTCACCGCAACCTCCGCCTCCTGGGTTCAGGCAATTCTCCTGCCTCAGCCTCCCGAGTAGCTGGGACTACAGGCACGCACCATCATGCCCAGCTAATTTTTGTATTTTTAGTAGAGACGAGGTTTCTCCTTGTTGACCAGGATGGTCTCGATCTCTTGACCTCGTGATCCACCTGCCTCGGCCTCCCAAAGTGCTGGGATTACAGGCTTGAGCCACCGCGCCCGGCCTGGTTATGTTACTTTTATTAGATATATTTCCCACTTTTTCAGCATCTGGTTTTACGAACAAATAAATGGATTAAGAAGGGAGGAGGAAGATAAAGAGATACAGATTCAAATGACAGGGAATTAGAAAGTGTAGGGAGTTAAAAAGTGCCATGAATAACGGTAAGTAAGCAAGCAAGTACCTTATTTAACATAAGTAGGTTAAATAAGGTATTAATGAAATTGCCATTTCTTCTAAAAGGTAAAGAAATTTTGCTGTGTGTAATAATGTCTTCTTTAAAGTGTTTTTACTTTATTTTAAAAATATCTTGAACAAGAAATGATGAAAGTACAAATTGCAAAAATTTCTTCTCTAAGAAATATTAGGGCAGACATTTGGCAGGGGGACAAAATGATATAAATTGGGGAGTCATATATCCTCATATGGATCAGCAAATGAGTCAGTCAAGATTATGGGCAGGTTCTGATGTATCTGGTGTCTCTCAATACTTAGCTTATCCTTGGAATTCCATATGATGGCCAGGCAAATAAATTTTATGGGGATTTCTGGGGGTATTTTTTAAAAAATGAAAATGGCACCCAAAACATGAGCATTCGAAATCGGGAGAGAAGGTTGCTTAAAAATGGATGTAAAATGTTGAGATGGTAAAGAATGATTTATATAAACAAATGCAGAAAATGAATTGTAAGAAGCAGTTTAATTCTGCAGTATTCCTTTAAAGATACTGCAATATCTTTGAAAAACAAGTAACATTGGCATTTTGAATTTGACCATAACATTCACTGTAGTATGTGTATTAAATGTTACCTATCTGTGAGGCATGAAAGATAAACAAATTGAGCCTAGGATCTTTATAATGTCACTAAGGTGCTCAGAAATGTAAAATATTGTCTTAATCATAGAGTATAGAGAGCTGTCTAGTTTGCTTCATTTGCCTAAAACAAAAGTAGCTTTAATTCAATATTAGAAAGTTCTATTGACTTCTGCTCAGAGATGTTGTTGTGATATTACTATGGTATCCTTAAGGTTCCGAACTAGATTGACTGTTTAAAGATGAGCTATATTAAAATTATTTTTGCCTACATCCAGTCATTTTTTTTCTGGGATAGGATGGGTACAAGGACCTGCTTGTTGTGTTATATAATCAAGGGCTATGTCCTTTCTCATTAGACTCTTTGCAAATGGAAAGTTGAGTGCAGATGACTGAACAGGTGCCAGAAAATACTGTGATGAGTTGAAATTTTAAATCTTAAGTTCCCCCTTTTATTTTATTTTATTATTTTTTGAGATAGAGTCTTGTTCTGTCAACCAGGCTGGAGTGCAGTGTCATGATCACGGCTCACTGCAGCCTTCACCTCCTGGGCTCAGGTGATCCTCCCACCTCAACCTCCTGGGTAATTGGAACTACAGGTGCATGATGACATGCCCAGCTAATTTTTTGTTTTTGCTTTTATTTTTTGTGGACGTGATGTTTTGCCATATTGCCCCAGCCTCAAATGATCTTCTTACCTCATCCTCCGAAGTATCTGGGGCTACAGGCATGTACCACCATGCCCAGCTAATTTTTATTTTTTGTTGAGACAGATCTGGCTATGTTGCCCAGGCTGATCTTCAGTCTCCTAGCCTCAGGCAGTCGTACTGCCTTAGCCTCCAAAGTGCTGGGATTACAGGAATGAGCCACCTTACTGGCATGAGTGTTGTTGTTGTTTTTTTTGTTTTGTTTTGTTTTTAATTTAATTTTTTTTTTTTTTGTAGAGACAGGTCTCTCTCTGTTGCCCAGGCTGGTCTCAATCTCCTAGCCTCAAGCAATTGTCCTTCCTTGGCCTCCCAAAGTGTTGGGATTACAGGTGTGAGCCACCACTCCCACCTGAGTTTCTTAATGAGGCTTCTGAGTTGTAGTTGTTTTTAAAACAAGACCATAGAGCATGTTCCCTTTGTCAAATTCATTCCTTTTTTGGCATCAATTTGTTTACAAATCAGGAGCTTGCTAACTCAACATTTGGACCTTGTCACAAGTGAGTTTGTCAAGATTTCTAAAAAATTAAGGTTTTAAAAACTTAAATTATAAGGTAGATTTGAGCACTGCTGTGGTATTTATCTTAGAATCAGGCAATCTCCATGAAGGGGAATTTGCTATATAATCAAAGATAAATCCATTAATTATTTATACACACAACATTATTTTGATAGAATTCTTTTACACCTTGTAATTTAATGTTTTCTGCAGACTCAGGGTTATTATAGGCATTACTTATTTTTCCATAATACAGAGGTGGCTTCTGTAGCTGTTGAAGCATGGAGGGATTTTGGGCCCTATACTCTTCCTGACCGCTCTATTGGTGATTCTGTGGCCAGTGTTTTCTTCTTCTTTCCTAGTCAGCTGTCACTTTTCTTTTTGTCTTTTTTTTTCTTTTCAAATAGAGACAGGGTCTGGATTTGTCACTTTTAGATTTACCAGATTTTATCAGTCCTGCTATAAATGTCCCTCACATTTTTAAGGCAGCAGGCTCTGGCCTTATGTCCTAATCGTGGCTTCACACCTACCTCAAGAGTTAAATGCAATTTGTGATAACTTCTTTCTTTTCTGCTCTGAGGTTCTTTTCTGCTTGTTTTTGGGTTTCTGGATGTCATGTTTTTTATGAGAACGGGGAGGAGCTTTAAAAATGAGGCATTGCTGAAAAGTATGCAGTATGTTTGCCTTGATATATTTATATGTATATGTTAATTTCAGATAAACATTCAGACATTTAGTTACTTTTCCTTCTCCAGCATTCCCAGGCATACAGCACCTGGGTATGAAGTATGGGAAGGTTTTGAAGAAATGTACATGATTCTAGATTAAAAAAGCATTTTCAAAAGGTTTTTGAGAGTGTGTTTGTATGTGTGTGTATGTGTGTGTTTTGCTTTGTTTTTTCTATTTTTTTGGAGACAGCCTCACTCTGTCACCCAGGCTGGGGTGCAGTGGCACTATCTCGGCTCACTGCAACCTCCACTTCCCAGATTCAAGCAATTCTCCTGCCTCAGCCTCCCAAGTAGCTGGGATTATAGGCATGCACCACCACACCCAGCTAATTTTTGTATTTTTAGTACAGATGGGGTTTCACCATATTGGCCAGTCTTCTCTTAAACTCCAGACCTTAAGTGACCTTGCCCACCTTGGCCTTCCAAAGTGCTGGGATTACAGGCATGAGTGACCATGCCTGGCTGAGAGTGTGTTTCTTTAGCTAGAGAAATGATGGTTTCTTCTGAATTCGTCAGCTTTTTAAAACAATCATTTGTTTTTTTTTTTTTAAATGTTGTGGTAAGTAAGGGCTTTTCTAGGGCCCTTACTTAATACTAGAAATTGATCTCACCCAGGTAAGAGGGAGGTAGCATGATTTAGGTGAATAGTCTCAGACAAATTATTTAATTGCTTAGCCTAAGCCCTAATTTCCTCATCTGTGGAGATGGAATTATGGTTTTACAGCTATGTATATACACAGGTGTGCACACACACAGATGGATGCATATACAAAATATAGCTCTGGTCATTTGAAAAAAATCTATATTAATTATATCTAGTTCTTATTTATGAATCTCATCTTCCTGTACCAAGACGTTCTTCTTTTAGATATTACTATATTTATGGTATTCCTAGTGATAAGAATGGTAAGCAAAAATAATTCAACAATAAAAATAGGATTTTGAAAATCTGGTATTTACATTGATTACCCCTGCCCCGTCTCTCTCTTTCTCAGTCTGATGCTCCATCAGTGAAACTTCATGTATATTTTCTTACTGCATACTAGAAATTTCCTTTCTGATGTTTGGTCTCCACCTGACTAATGTTTTACTACTTCTAATGTGCACCCTTTCTTTTTTCCTCTCCCATCCTCCTGTAAGATTCTAAAGGTCCTTATCAAATTGTTTTTCTTTGACAATTTGTTAGCTCTTGACAATAAGTTAGTTCTTGATTTTCTAACTTATAGCATGTATGGTTTTTCTGGTGGGTATAGAGTGGAGGTAGAGTCAGAGAGACAGCATTTCTTTGACATTTCCACACATCAGAGCATTGATTATAAGTAACCCTTTGACAGTTTACATCTTTTTCTTTTTGGTATTCATTATTTGTAACTTTTAACTAGATTACAGGCTTCTAGGCAGGCAGGAACTACAATTTACTACTTAGCTCTTTCAGAGGATGTTAAGTTGTTAGTTACCTTACATACAATAGTGCTTAATAAAGAAGCCTGACTAAAGTGAACTCTAGCTATTACTCCCTTCCTTATCTTCAGCTTCATCCTCAAGGTTTTAAGTCTTATACTAGATGCTATCTCACTCTTAATGACATATAGTTTATGTTAAAGAGACACCAGTATAAATATTATAGCATGAGTAAAATAAGTCATGTAGAAATGGCCAAAGGTAATTGTGTTAGGAAAAAAGATATTTGTCAGAAGTGTGGGACTGTTTTCTTGTGCATATTGAGAATAGGTAGCATTTGTGCTTTATTTACAGATTTGAGAATCATGGTAAAGATCATTAGATGATGGTTGGAGAAGTATGCCTTTTATTGTGTGACGATAAACTTCTTAGTGTTAGAGACTGACTTAGAAGTTTTCTTTATTCTTTTATCACACAATGTATTAACTTGTGTATTAAATTTCAGGAGTTGTCACAGCCGAGATGTTCAGACATATGCAGAACTCTGAGATAATTCGCAAAATGACCGAAGAATTTGATGAGGTAACTTACTACCTTAAGTGTTTTGATAACTTATGAATGTTGATCTTGACTTATTTTTAAAAGTATTATTAAATTGTAAGCATTAGGTTGGGTGCTGTGTCCATGCTTTGTAATCCCAGCACTTTGGGAGGCTGAAGCAGGTGGATCACCTTAGGTCAGGAGTTCGAGACCAGCCTGACCAATATGGTGAAACCCCGTCTCTACTAAAAATACAAAAAAATTAGCCGGGCATTGTGCCGTGCGCCCGTAGTCCCAGCTACTTGGGAGGCTGAGACAGGAGAATTGCTTGAACCTGGGAGGCAGAGGTTGCAGTGAGCTGAGATCAGGCCACTACACTCCAGCTTGGGCAGCAGAGTGAGACTCTGTCCAAAAAAAAAAAAAATTGTAAGCATCAGTGTTGAAGATAAAAGCTTTGGCATTAGATTTAATCAAATGATGCTTGTGTGCAACCTTTGGCAAGTTGTTGTCTTAGTATCAGGTTTTTTTTTTCTGAGACAGAATCTTGCTCTGTCGCCCAGGCTGGAGTGCAGTGGCAGGTTCTCTGCCTCCCGGGTTCAAGCAGTTCTGTCTCAGCCTCCCAAGTAGCTGGGATTATAGACGTCTGCCACCATGCCTGAATAATTTTTGTACTTTTAGTAGAGACGGGGTGGGGGTGGGGGTGTGGGTTCACCATGTTGGCCAGGCTGGTCTTGAACTCCTGACCTCAAGCGATCCACACGCCTTGGCCTCCCAAAGTGCTGGGTTTACTGGCAGCTATCACTGCATCCAGCCAGTTTCAATTTCATTATCTGTAAAATGGGCCTAATAGTACTTTATTCATAAGGCTCTTAAAAAGATTGAATTGAGTAATGTTTGAAAATTGCTTAACATTTTACAGTTCCCAGAACATCGCAAGAACTTAATAAATGGTAGTCATTATTGCCAAAAATGACAATTTCAAGGAAGAATATAAGAACATATTCTGGAATGTTGTAAAAGGAAGGTTTCAGCAATATTTGGGGAACCTGGTAGCTAGGGCAAAGGAGTATATAGATATTTTTATTGTTTAATACAAACTCTTGAGAACGACAAAGATTACATATTAGTTTAGAGTGAGTTTTCCCCCACTTACCTCCCTAGGGCTAGATTGAGTTGATTCTTTATTACAGTGAGCTCTTTGAAGTATCGTTACCAATAAATACATACATAGATTTACTATAAATTAAGCTTCTTCAGGGAAGAGATTTTGGTTTGTTTGGGTTACAGCTGTATTTCAGTGCCAGTAGTTTTACTCCTCCAAAGTTTTTCACTCTGGGTTTTCAAGCAAAAAACCTTGTCTGATTTGAGTTTTATTTGGCCTTTTTTTTTCTTGCTTAAACTGATGAAGGAGCTTTGAACTATTATTCTAAAAGATAGATGAATTAAAATGGCTTTGATGATTACTAAGTGCTATTAATCAGTCCGCAAGTAGTTGAGAGGTAATTTTGAATAGTGGTATTTTTTACTCTTTTAATATTAAATGTTTTAGTGAGAACTTTCTCTCTAAAAGGAAAAAACTATTTGAGATAATTGTCCTGAAGTATGGTTTGAAAATGTCAGCAAACCAAGTTGCTAACAACAATTAAGATGATATATTTCAATATAGTCACTAAATTAGTTAATCAGAAAATAACAAGCAAATTTTTTTGTTGAATATCAGGAACTTGTTCTCAGATGAGATACAACTGCACTTAGATGTGACATGACTTAAGATTTTAAAAAACATAATGAGAAAAATTAATTGTTAAAAATTTACTAAACAGGTTGGGCATGGTGGCTCATGCCTGTAATTCCAGCACTTTGGGAGGCTGAGGCAGGCGGATCACCTGAGGTCAGGAGTTTGAGACCACCCTGACCAGCATGGTGAAATCCCGTCTCTACTAAAAATACGAAAGTAGCCCGGTGTGGTGACACACGCCTGTAATCCCAGCTACTTGGGAGGCTGAGGCAAAAGAATCTCTTGAACCCGGGAGGTGGAGGTTGCAGTGAGCCGAGATTGTGCCATTGCACTGCAGCCTGGGCAACAAGAGAAAAACTCTGTCTCAAAAAAATTTTTTTTTACTAAACAGTACTGATAAAATTACCTTATATCTCTAGGATGCTCTTGTCAGTGACCTTTACTTTCAGATGTTCTATGTGGTATTGGTCTCTGATTTTATTTCTGTGGTCTTGGTTGTTTTTAATGATTAGTGGAGAATCTCAATTTACCCTGAGACTAGAGAATGCCCTCTTGTACAAAGGAAAACCTGAGTACCAGTCTTCCAAGGCAAAGCTAACTACATTTCCATTACTTTAAAAAATTATGATTGTATTTATTAACTGTGTGATGTATTTGAAGCGAATGAAAACATATTTGTAATGTTTTGTTTATTTACACATCATATATCAATTTAGTGGATTAGCTGAAAATATGATTTCCATCACTTCAAATCCATTTAAAAATAGAATTTTGGTTTGGTTTTGGTTTGCTTTTGCTTTATATCTGTGCTTACCACCAGGATGTTTTGTTTTGATGAGGGAGGCTTTTAAAAATTTTAACCTGAGTAATTGGTATGTATTTTCATTGATTAAAGTAAATTCAGAATATCTATTTTGATCTTAAAGAGCAGAGTGTTCAGAGGTACCCCTACCTTTATATGTTATTCTCTTGCCTACTTTGAGGATTAATGGGAGAAGAAAGGTGAGATAAGATATCTTTTCATGCTTTTGCCTAGGTAGGGTATTTGAAAAGCAAGCGGTATGTTAAGTCATGCATTCTAAATGAAATTCCTGTTGTAAATTTTGTTTTAGGATAGTGGAGATTATCCACTTACCATGGCTGGTCCTCAGTGGAAGAAGTTCAAATCCAGTTTTTGTGAATTCATTGGCGTGTTAGTACGGCAATGTCAATATAGTATCATATATGATGAGTATATGATGGATACGGTCATTTCACTTCTTACAGGATTGTCTGACTCACAAGTCAGAGCATTTCGACATACAAGCACCCTGGCAGGTGAGTATTTAGAAATATTTTCTACGTATTGTCTTAGGCTTGAGATGAAAAAGATTCTCATTAAAAGAGAAAGGAAATAAGAGTGATACAAATTATTTATAAAGTGACCACTAAGAGGACACTCCCCCCATCCTTCCTGTCAATTATTGGAAATGGGATGGTAATTTCAGTTTCAATTTTGTGAAGGCACACTATAAGTTATACAATAGCTACTATATGGTGATTTTTTTGAACACTATGCATACTGTGCCACAGCAAGGGAAAGTTGGACTATAGGTATGCATTGGATTCTTGAAAAATACTATGCCACAAGAAGGGGAAATTGGATGATAGGTATGTATTGGGTTCTTGAAGGGTATGTTACCAGGGGAGATATTGACAGCAGATTTGGAGGTACCATCACAGTCATTTTGCTTATATGATTCTGATGACCGTATAGCTTGTCTCTGGTGTGCGTTGCCTCTCCAGGTAGGATGGCCCCTACTGGATGAGGCCTGTTTTTTCAATCACACTGGAAGAAGTTGATTTTTCTTATGTTTCTGGGTAACTTTAGGTTGGGGCAAATTCTTTGATCTTTGAAGTTTACTGAAATGAGGTATATAATTATACCTCATAAAATCTATTAGTTTCTCTTTTGTGCTTAAGGTAAAATTGTTGATATGCTATTATTGAATATGTTCTTTCTGAGTTTCAATGAATAAAACAGGCTTTAATTGTTATGATGGTATTCTGATTTTTAATGATATTTTGGTTTTTAATTAAAAAGACTTTTTATTCTCTGTGGGTTTTTTTTTTTTTCCATTTAGAATATTTTCTCAAAGAATTGAGTCTGTGATTAAAGATACACTTCTGAGTCCTTCATTGTTAAAGAGAAAATGCAGTTTCCCATATGTTCTGTTTTTGTTTTTAGATTTGAAGTCAGAAAATACGAATGTGAGCTTGCTTTATGCACTTAAGGTAGCAGTGTCAAGAACTTGATGACTAAAGTAAATTAAAACAAGGATTATGGTGCAAGATGAATAATTTTAGATCAGAGTGGCAAACTGGTTTGCTGGGGGCGTGAGATTAGAGCAAAAAATTGGGAAATCTTTCTTTAAGAGAGCCAATAGCTGCAAATTAAGATGTAGTTTTATTGTTGTTATATCATGCAATGCACCGAGTCTGAGAAGTAGTCTGGAGTAAGCTAAAGAAAGCAAAAAGTGATCAGATCTTTCAGTTAATACGTTTTAAATCCCAGATAATAAGAATCTTGTATCAGGAGTAAGTGTTTAGTAACAGAAGGTAGAGATCTGGAGGAAGTTTTATGAAAAAGCACTTTAATTAAGTGACATTTTACCCTTTGTAGTTTTGACTTTTCATGACTTCATCAGTCTTTATGATATGTTATGGAGTAAAATGAAAGGAAAGCAAATATTGATAAAATTCCTCAGCTTTTTTTATATTATTTGATATAAAACCATCAAGTTCCTTTTAATTATTGAGATAGCTAAATAACTTCGTTGTGAACTAAAATTACTTTAGAAGGTAAATCATGATCTATGAAAAAGATTATTTTAGGGCACATATTATAGAATAATGGAATTTAAGTATAGTCTGGAGTCCGATTGCCTTGGTTTGAATCCGGGTTTGACTGCTTACGTGAACTGAGGCAAATTTGTAAATTTCCCTGAGCTTCAATTTTGCTGTGAATGAAATGGGTATAATGCCTTTGAGAGGGCCATTGTGAGGATTAGGAGATAATTCCTGAAAAGTTATTTTATGTTATTTTATTGTTGTTATTTGTAGCACCTGCATCTTTCTTTTGTTAGAAGCAGATTAGCTTATTTCTGCTTAATTTTTCTATTTGATCGTAAGTTGTAAATTTTTGTATCTGTTAGGTTAATTTCACCATATTTTTACTCTTCAAAAATAGCTATGAAGTTGATGACAGCTTTGGTGAATGTGGCACTAAATCTTAGCATTAATATGGATAATACACAAAGACAATATGAAGCAGAACGGAATAAAATGATTGGAAAACGAGCCAATGAGAGGCTAGAACTCCTGCTACAAAAGCGGAAAGAGGTAAACTTTTATATTGAATTTTTAGGCTCTTGTGTAACCAACTTGGTCACCATTAATTAGGATATAACTTTGCTAGTGCCTCAGATAATTGTTTTTGAAATATTTAAAAGTAAAAAACATTTCAAATTATTTGCCCAACAAAATTCTGAAGAATATCCATGCCAGCAATACTGTTTTCTTATTTTCAATCTGCGTGGACTAGTATTAAGGGTAAAGGGCTTTAAGTAAGGAGACGGGGTTAGTCTGAGAAGTTATCTTAAGCTTTAGCATTATTCATCTCTACTGTGAAAAACCTTTTGTCAGGATGAAAAGAGGTTTCACAATTATGTGAAATCACTTTGAAAAATAACATAAGCTGTTTATTAGCATCTAAATTAGTGTGTGTTTTTTTTTAATACCATAGAAGGCATTTGTTTAACACTGGTGACTGACCACCAAATTCAACTTTGAATGAGCCTTAAATAAAATCTTTTGATGCTGTGGCTGTAATTTAAATTCTTTTTTCATTGGTGATAAAATATTTTGCTATTTCATAATGGAGATGTTTGTTTTCATATCAAATAGGCAAAGTCTGAGGTTTCAAAAATATTAGTAATGCAGTTGAGTTCAGTAGTTGTCATAGTCCTCTATGAATTTTTGACCTGATCTTGAATTTTTTTGGGGGAGGGGATTGGTAGCTGTAATTCTAAATTGGTTGTTTTCGAAATAGTTAATAACTTTAAAAAATATCCAGACTCAAGAAAACTAGGGAAAATCCTGCTATTTCCTCCTAAATTCCTCATCTTTTTCATATAATTTAGAATAAAGTATTGATACTTTTCCCTCTTAATTTATTTATATGCTATATAATAAATGATATGTAATAAGCTACATTACAGATTCCTTTACAGAGTTTTTTTTATTTTTTAAGACCGAGTCTCACTCTGTCGCCCAGGCTAGAGTGCAGTAGCGCTATCTCAGCTCACTGCAACCTCCACCTCCCAGGTTGAACCTCGTGCCTCAGCCTCCCGAGTAGCTAGCATTATAGGCTTGTGCTGCCACACCTGGCTAATTTTTGTATTTTTAGTAGAGATGGGGTTTTACCATGTTGGCCATGCTGGTCTTGAACTCTTAACCTCAAGTGATCTATCTGTCTCGGCCTCCCAAAGTGCTGAGATTATAGGCATGAGCCACTGTGCCTGGCCGCCTTTACAGTTCTTTTGTAGATATTTTGAGCATTAGAAAAAAAATATTAATAGCTAAATATTAAAATCCAAGTCAGATATTTCAGGCATCAAGGAATTTTATCTACCTGATAATTGTTAATTTTTCTGTATGGTTACTGTTATCTGGTAGAATTCAAAATTCACCAAAATACTGGAGAATTCTGCTTTTTTCATGCTTGTAACAACTTAAAGGTGTTCCTTTGATTGTCTTCTTTACAATTGAAAAGAAATGATCTATTCTTTACAGCTTCAGGAAAACCAAGATGAAATAGAAAATATGATGAATGCAATATTTAAAGGAGTGTTTGTACATAGATACCGGTAAGTTGTGACAGCTTTTTCATAATAGCACTATATAATTTCTACTTAGCAAGTTTACATATTTAGTGGTGTAGGTAGTCTAAATTAGTGGGAAGAATGTTATAGTAAAATTATGTTAGACTAAACTGTGCCACTGAGTTACTCTGGGCAAGTTATTTAACTCCTGTGAATTTGGTGTTTCCCATCTGAAAAATGGGATAATGCTGTGCCTGACTTGCAGCCCATAGAAGTTACTGCTATTAGGAGTCAGGCTACACAATACTTAATTACCGTTGCATGCACTATGTTAGTAGAGCCTGCACATGCTGACTTCTGACTCTTTTCCCTTCCACTGAATATCAGTGGGACAATTTAGATAGGTTAAAGTGAGATGTTTTCTTTTGCTATTTTGAATGAACAGAGGAAAGAAACAGTAATCTTATTACAATTTCTGCTATAACCTATTCTTAAATTTCAGTAGTATGTTTATTCAGCTTCTTCCACATATCCTCAACTTGGCAGTTATTGAATCAGGTTAATGCTTGCTTTATACAATGTCCCCAGTCCATTCTTACATTTTCACTTCTATTGTCACCATTACCTTAGTCTATTTCCTCATTCTCATGCATAGAGATTATTGCAGTTTAGCTAAAATATCCTTTTATTGTGTTATTCCTCTGCCTTTAATGACTAACCAATACTTACAAGATGAATTTAAAATCATTTAGTCTAACATTCACATCCAATTGAGTTTGACCTCAGTGTAATGTGTAAATAATTCTCACCTGGAAATTATGCTTTAGCCAGACAAGCGTGCCTGCTGTCTTCTGAACACACCATGCGCAGCAGGTGTGAGCAAAGGCTGGGATATGGTATGGTATAAAAGGTGGGGATGGGATTTTGTTTGTAGTTTTATAAAATTTTAGATATATGTTGATACTTATCCTTTGCCACCTAGACTGTAAGCTTTTGGCATTCAGGGCCATGCTTCATTTCTATTTTTTAAACCCCAGTAATACTTAAGATAGTGTCATATTCATAGTAAATCTGAAGTACTTGGTGTCTCTTGAATAAACCATAAGTTTTACGGTATATTGGCACTAATTATGCATCATTTTTCCTTCCTCCATTCAGTGATGCGATAGCTGAAATTCGAGCTATATGCATTGAAGAGATTGGCATTTGGATGAAGATGTATAGTGATGCCTTTCTTAATGACAGTTATTTAAAATACGTTGGTTGGACTATGCATGATAAGGTAAGATGGCCCTTCAGACTGCTGCTTTCTACACATCAGCATGGCTGCCTGTAGCTCTCATTCATGAGTTATCTCCCTGTATGTATACCTGGTGACACGTTTCTGTAAGCCCCCCCTTTATTCTTTTCTATCTTCTCTGTAAAAATTTAATTTCTATCACATAAAGTCCCCTAGATTTTTTTGAAAACTGGCCACTGATTTAACCTTAAATTAATGGTGAATCATTTTTTTGCTGAAATATTAGAATCATGATGGTAGTGAGGCATATCTTTAGAGCACAAAGAAGAACCAGTATTCTGTTATCTGTGAGCTATATACTTTAAAAAAAATTCTTCAGTTTTGATCCACTCTTTTGACAAACCTGTATCTTAGCCGGATTATACCTTACAACTTGGTTTCTGACCTTTTTAATATATTTTCATTACACTACTATTCTCTTAGGCTGCTTCTTCACTTGCCTTGAAGAAGGTAATTTTATATATTCTTTCCAAACATTAGTTTCCATAGCAGAAAATGACTGTGACACATGCTCCTCTTGTTTTTTCACAATAGTTTTGTTCTTAACATTTATGTTAAATATTTTGTTCTTAACAAATTTTCAAAAATTACCCTTTGAACTATAGAAATAGTAACCACATAGGAATTTAGTCATAAATGTATATACTGGTTATTATTTTTGCTTTATTAGAGATGATAGTTTCTGAAGGAATGCTGTGGTATGAAATGTTTAAAATTTTAAAGTGGAAAATATTGTACACATCTTGAATATTGAAGTTGAAAATACATAGTTTTAATGCATTGTCTCTCTCTCTCTCTTTTTTTATTTTATAGCAAGGTGAAGTAAGACTCAAATGTCTTACTGCTCTGCAAGGGCTTTATTATAACAAAGAGCTTAATTCCAAACTGGAACTTTTTACCAGTCGGTTCAAGGTTAGCATTATTTTAAGAATTTACAAATAACTTGTAATTTGTAAACACTTTTCTCTTCCTTTTCTTTTAAAAATATTTTAATTTTTTTGTCCTTAGGATAGAATTGTGTCTATGACCCTTGACAAAGAATATGATGTTGCAGTACAAGCAATAAAATTACTCACTCTTGTTTTACAGTAAGTATATGTTTTTTTTTTTTTTTTTTGCATATTTGCACTAATGTTCAGGTATCTAAATAATACATGAGAGTACTTGGTTCAGACTCATCTAGGTCTACATTTTAGTAGCTTACATCGTGGAGTTTTACAGCTAGAAGTTGAATTTTTTCATGTATAGTTAAGAAAATACAGGAAGAAGGAACCATAGAATATGGAAATTTTAACTGAGCTAAGAATTCATGTGTTCCCATTCTCTTGGCCAGTTTCCTTCCTATTTTTCTGTTTTTGATGCTCTTGAAATAAGCACATCAATGTCTTAAAAAACATGCTTATTATATTTTGTTACACTTTCAGAGTATGAGCATTTATAAGAATGTCTCTGTTATACTTCTCATAGCACCTTTAAACAGTCTGAGTTTAAGACCTACTATGTTAATATCTGATTGTGATGTTATGTTATTCATATATTTCCTTTTTAAAAAATGGTAGTAAAATACAGATTATGTAAAGTTCACCATTTTAACCATTTTAAAGTGTGGTTTAGTGGCATTATCTATATTCATGTTGTTGTGCAACTGCCACCACTATCCATCTTCAGAACTTTTTCATCACTTCATTCTGGAGCTCTGTACCCATTAAATACTGATTCTCCATCGTTCCCTTCCCCCAGATCCTGGTAACCACTGTTTTATTTTCTATCTCTATGAACTTGTCTATTCTAGATACTTCGTGTAAGTAGAATCATGCAATATTTGTCCTTTGCATCTGGCCTATTTCACTCAGTATAATTTCTTCAAGTTTCATACATTATTATAGCATGTACTCCTGTTTGTAGCTGAATAATATTTCATTGTATGTATATTCCACATTTTGTTTATACATTTTTGCATTGATGGACATTTGGACTGTTTTCACCTTTAGTTATTGTCAATAATGCTGCTATGAACATAAATGTGCAAGTATCTGTTTGAGTCTCTGCTTTCAGTTCTTTTATGTATACCCATAAGTGGAATTGCTGGATCATATGGTAATTCTGTTCAATATTTTTTTGAGGAACTGCTGTAATGTTTTCCACAAAAGTTGCACCATTTTACATTTTACATTCCCACCAGCAGTATACAAGGTTTCCAGTTTCTGTACAGCTTCACCAGCACTTATTTTCTGCTTTTCATGATAAAAATTTATCGGGTTATATCTCTATAGCAAGCACTTGGGTGGTATGTTGAGAGACTTAAAAATCAGAGTCTTCTCGTTTGAAAATAATATAACATTTTATAAAAATACCTAGAAATAAACAAGAAATCCACCAGATATACATGAGAAGCGTTAATAAAATGCAACTAAGGGACATAAAAGAAGGCTTGAATTTGAAAAGCTCACCTAGGAAAACTCACTATTTAAAGGCTTGTGATCTTCCTATTCTGTGTATTTATCACAATGTAAATAACAATGGCAGAGTATCATTTTTTTAGCCATAGCAAGCAAATTCTGACATTTCATATGGAAAATTTATCATGTAAGAGTTGCCAGAAGAGTATGATACCCACTAATAATGAGGACTAGCCCAATATAATTTTAAGTCACATATTATAAAACCATAGTAATTTAAAAATTTTGGTCCTGGTATATGAATAGACAAAAAGATCAGTGGAGCAGAATAAAAATAGAGAAACACATATGCATCTATAAAGTGACCATGTCAGGTTTTCCTGAGCATGATATGAAAGCTAGACATAAAAAGATCAATGAATTGACTATATAAAACCTAAAAATATCTGTATTCCATAAAACACCATAAACTCTGAAAACAAATCTCAGATTGGGCAAGATATTTGCATCAAAGTAGTTGATTTTTGCAAATCAGTTAAAAAAATCTGTAATAATAGGAAAACAGTGAAATATTATGGATCAGATCATTGACAGAAAAGTACGAATTTAAACATATGAGACGATGTTGGGCCACACTTAACAAACATATATCTTAAAGTGAGAGTTTTAAATCTGTTTGCTTGGCAAAAATAGAAAGTGTTTGGTAATTACACTATGTTGTTGAGGCTATGCCATAACAGGCCCTTTTACATTGTTGATGGGAATATAAATTGGTCTAAGCTTCTTGGAGAAAAACTTCAGTATCTATCAGAATTTCAAATGCTCATGTTCTCTAACAAAGCATTGTTTGTAAGAGCAGAATTTTGAAAACAACCAAGGGTGCATATCAATAGAGGAAGAACTAAATTAGTATGTAAGATAATGCTAATATAAGCACTTTATAGGGATAATTTCATTTAATACCACAACTCAGTGAGATGGTAGTGGTTATTCTCATTTCTGTGAATCAGACAACATTGTAGTAATTAAAAAGAAGGCAGTTCTACAGCTATTGATAATTCAGGGAATTCACTTACTTTGGAATTTCTTGAGCAGTCTGTTAACTGTTATATACCCCCCCCCCCCTTTTTTTTTTTTTTTTTTTTGGTTTGAGACGGAGTGTTGCTGTCACCAGGCAGGAGTGTAGTGGTGCAATTTCCACCTCCTGGGTTTAAGTGATTCTTCCACCTCAGCCTCCCAAGTAGCTGGAACCACAGGCGCATGCCACTATGCCTGGCTGATTTTTGTATTTTTAGTAGAGACGGGGTTTCACCATGTGGGCCAGGATGGTCTCGATCTCTCGACCTTGTGATCTGCCCACCTCGGCCTCCCAAAGTGCTGGGATTACAGGCGTGAGCCACCACACCCGGCCTCTTTTCTTTATTTTTAATTATATTTAAAAATCATAAATGTTACATACATATGTCATATATAAAAATATTGAAAGAATTCTGAAATAAAGTAACAGTACTCTACATATATTTCTATAGTTTCTTTCCCACCATCCTCTACAGTACACTGGAGACATCTTTTTTTCTGATATTCTTATCAAAGGTGGTAGACATGGCCATTCATGCTGATTTTCAGCCATTAATATACCTAATAGTTTAGATTTCTTAGGAATGTTCCTTTTCAAAAAGTTAAAATGAGTGAACTTCTGTAGCGTTACAATACTTTAACTTGTTTAATTTAATGTGTTTTTGTTTTTTAGAGACAGGGTCTTGCTCTATCACCCAAGCTGGAGTGCAGTGGTTCAATCATGGCTTGCTCCAGCGTCACTCTCCTAGGCTCAATCTATCTTCCCACCTCAGCCTCCTATGTAGCTGGGATTAAAGCTATTATAGTCCCACCATGTCTGGCGAGTTTTTTTTTTTTTCGTGTTTTGTAGAATTGAGGTTTCATGTTGCCCAGGCTAGTCTTGAACTCCTGGGCTCAGGCGATCCACTCACCTCAGCCTCCCAAAGTGCTGGGATTACAGGTGTGAGCCACCACTCAGCCTGAAAGAGCTGCCAGGGGCCAGGACCCTGAATGCAGTTGCAAGGGAAGAATACAACAGCGTTTACCCTGGGTTACTGTGGTTAATGGGCCTTAATAATGATTATGATTTATCGAAAATATTTTGTTAGGCTTATTTTGTTCTTTAAAAATAAGAAAAAATGAGCATTACGTTTTAGTAATATATATATTTTTTCGATGATTGCAATTAAAAATCTTTGGCACTTAGATTTTAGTTATTTGGAAAAACCACTTGTATTGCCTTATATGGTGTTCAGTACATCGTGGATGAAGTATTGTTGATTAAAGTGATATAAATGGGACATTAGTACATTTTGATGTAATGTTGTAACTCAGTGTTACTATGAAATATGAGCAAAATATTATCTGCGATTTTTTTTAACTCTAAGCTCTTAGCTTGCTACCCCTTTTGTTCCTATATTAGTTTTTATTATTTTGTCTTCTTCTTCTGTTAGCATCCATGTGACATAAATCTTAAACGTTCATTTGTTTACCTTCTGTATTCACTTTTAATTTTACCTGTCATTTATCTTTAATAGATTTGGTGGATGATAAATAAGATTGGTTTGGTTTTTTTTTTTTTCTTCCTTTAACACAAATTAGTGAAACTTTACAACTTTTTAAAAATATGACCATGAATTTTTGTACTGTTAATATGCTTTGAATTATGACATTACTAAAAGCACCTGTTACTGCTTATTTCTTAGGAGTAGTGAAGAAGTCCTTACTGCAGAAGATTGTGAAAATGTCTATCATCTGGTTTATTCAGCTCACCGGCCAGTAGCAGTAGCAGCTGGAGAATTTCTCTACAAAAAGTAAATCTATATTTCCGCTACTCATTTTCTAAGGCATGCTTTCATAGCAGTTATTTGTTTTGTTACACTGGAGATTAATATTATATTTAACTTAATTTAAAAATTACTACTATTTCCTTTAAAAGTTTAGATTTCTCCTAAGTTCTTTGATTTATTTAAGTTAAATCTTTAAAGAGAAATGGACCCATGTCTTTCAGTGAACATGTTTGGAAAGATACCTAACTATATTATAATATTAAGACTGACCTCTTCCTAATTGTTTACCCTTCTAATACCTGCTTCATCTTCTAAATATTGCTTATGCTATATATATATATATATATATTTTTTTTTTTTTTTTTTTTTGAGACAGAGCCTCTCTCTGTTGCCCAGGCAGGAGTGTGCAGTGGTGTGATCTCAGCTCACTGTACCCAACCTGTGCCTCCCAGGTTCAAGTGTTGCTTGTGCCTCAGCCTCCCGACCAGCTGGGACTACAGGCTGTATTTAGTCTTAAACTTATTTTTCCTTTGCTTTAGAAAATATTAAAAGGCTCTTCAAGTATTTAATATAGTTTGACATAAGAATCCCAAGAATTCTACAATCTCTTTACTTTTATGATCCTATTTAACATTCAGATTAGGAAGTATGAGTAGCAGTGTGAATATCTGATCACAGAAAACACTCAAAGATTGTTATACAATGGATTTCAAAGAGACCATTTTGAGCTATATAGATTAAACTCTTCTTGTTCCTTTGATTTTATTAAAATCCCTGTTTGGGGTACAGCAATTACTAGAAAGAGTAGGTGGTATAAAACATTTACACTGCAGCTTTCTATTCATTGCTGTTTAGTATTAATTCTCTTGTTGTTTATGGGGAAAATGGCCATGCTATCCATAGTAAAAGGACAGTAAGTTGGGATAATTTTGCAAGAAGAAAAGAAGGAAAGTATGTGTTTAATTTTCAAGATGAATATGTATCATAGATTTTTTTAGCATAAATGGTGTAGCTTTGTCATTGTACTACTTTTATGAAAGTTGACAGTTATATAAAATACAATAAGATTTTTAAAAAGAAATAATTTATAACTCAGTACAATTAACTTGAGAAGTTAGTTTAAAAGGACTTAGAATTACCATCAAACATGAAATGGAAAGGGTTTATAGCAGTTACTTCTGTGGTATGCCAAAATGTTGGATGATATTGTACCTATCCAGTCCTCCTTTACTCCTTTGTTAGATCCTTAAATATGAAATCCACACAGTTAATTTTTTTTTATTAGGAAATACTTGTTGTTGTAAAAAAAATATTTTACTTTTTTCACAGGCTCTTCAGTCGTAGAGATCCAGAGGAGGATGGAATGATGAAAAGAAGAGGAAGACAAGGTCCAAATGCCAACCTTGTTAAGACATTGGTTTTTTTCTTTCTAGAAAGTGAGGTTAGTTGATAGTATTTATTTTATACTTAGGTTCAAAAAATTTTGGAAAAGGGGTTAAAATGAGGTACATTAAAAAGAAATATTGTGTGTAGCACAGTACATTGTGACTAGAATGGAGCTCTACCCACTCTACAGATTTTTAAAATATGCTTTCTAATTTTAGTAAGATGTTCAAACAGTAGGATTTATGTATAATGCTGAGAATATTAATTTTAGAGTTCAAAATCCTGATTGGCAGTTGAGCTACTCTGCTTACTATTTGTGTGACCTTAGGTTTAGCTACTTACTCTTTCTAAGCGTCAGTTTGCTAGTCAAAAGATGGGTAATCTGAAACAATCTGTAATCTGCATAAAACTTAACATAGACCTAGAACATTGTAAGATCTCAAATGTAGTACCTGCCATTTAAATTGTAGATGTGGACTTAAACTAGTCTCCCTAAAGTTGGAAACCTATCTGTTAGCCAGATATTGAGAGGACTCAAAATTTATTTTTGGTATTCGTGTTATATATTATTTAATTAGTGATCGGGCCTTTTAATTTTCTAGTTAGTTCTGTATTTGGGCCTATAATTGATTCTTTATTCTTCAGGATTTTCTACATTATGCAGTCAGTTCATTTGCAAATAAAGTTAATTTTCCTTTTCCTTTCCAACATTTTTTCCATTTTTTTTCCTTGCCTTATTGAATTGGCTAAGACTTTCAGTAGACCGTTGAGTAGGGCCAGTTGCGGTGGCTTACGCCTGTAATCCCACCGCTTTTGGAGGCTAAGGTGGGTGGATCACGTGAGGCCAGGAGTTTGAGAACAGCCTGGCCAACATGGGAAAAACCTCATCTCTAAAAAAAATACAAAAATTAGCCAGGCTTGGTGGTGCATGCCTGTAATCTCAGCTACTTAGGGGGCTGAGGCACAAGAATCCCTTGACCCCAGAAGGCAGAGGTTGCAGTGAGTCAGGGTCATGTTACTGCACTCCAGCCTGGGTGACGGAGCAAGATTCTGTCTCCAAAAAAAAAAAAAAAAAATTGAATAAAGTGGTGAGAGTAGACATTTTTGGATTGCTCCTGATCTTATGGGAAGAGTGTCCAATATTTCAACATTAATTACATTGTTAGCTATAGGTGTTTTATAGATATTTATAATCAGATTGAGGATGTTTCCTTTTATCCTTTCTTTGCTGAAAATTTCTAACATGAATGGAAATTGAATTATGTAAAAAGCTTCTGCATTCCTTGAGATGATTGTTTTATTTTTATCCTTTATTATGTTAATGCGTTGAGTTATGTTGAATGACTTTTTAAATGTTGAATCAACCTGCTTGTTCATGATGTTATTCTTTTTATATATTGCTGGATTCAGTTTGCAAATTTTTTATTTGATCTGATTGACTGATTTTTTTTTTTAAGGACAAAATTCTCTTGGAAAGTTTATTAACATAAGTAACAATAAATCATTCAACTTTTCTGTCTTCAGGAAGTTTTTAAGGATTGAATTTCAGAAGTCCTCATGTAAACAAATCAGATATGAATAAAGCCCTTATGATGAACTTTTCAAATAAATTTTTAAAATATCTTTTTTCTTAAGATGATAATAGTATTAACATGATAGTATTAACTTTTCTTATTTTTATTAAAATTAGCTCTTCAGGATTATTACTAACAAATCTTGATTTTTATTACTGTGCTAGGGTAAGATTTTAATCACTAAGTTCTTCCTCATCACTGAAATAGGTGCTTTTCTTTATCCTTGGGCACCTTGAATCATCTGATGTTGAGGGGCCTCCTGAACTGGGTTTCCATTGTTTTTGTTCTGCTTCAATTTTGGCTTGCTGGAATGCTATGGCCTGACTGAGGCTGTCAAGAGCAGGATCCTCCCCTTCATCTTCACTTTCTTCTACTTCCTCAATTTCTTCTTCTGGTTCAGGAGCTTTCTTTTTTTTCTTTTTTTCTTTCTTCTTTGGCGGCTCACATTCTCCAAGCATATTTTTCGGACAGGCATAACTTAAGTGTCCACTTTCCCCACATTCATAACACTTAGATTTATCAAAGTAGTTTCGCCTTCGGATGAACTCAGCTGCTCTTCCATTGTCAATAGCAATGCTTGCTTTTATCACTCTACCAAATAACTGTTTGTTGTTTATTGCCCTGGTACAGTTTTGTGCAGAGTCTTTATCCAAAAATAAAATAAATGCAACCCCTTTACTCTTCCTGGTATCTTTATCTTTCATTATGGTAACCTTTACAACTTTGCCATACTTGGAAAATATCTGGTACAAGTCATTGTTTGTCAGGGAAAAAGGCAAGTTGGATATATACACTGTGCTCTTACTTGGAGCCAATCCACCACTCATTTCTTTAGGTGGGACGGGCCTGGGAGACCAGAAGAGTGCGAGCCCTCGGCTCAGCTGGGGCTCAACCCCGACTCTTGGTAGCCACTCGCAGCGGCCTAGGCATCACGAGTCCTGGGAGGGGTCAAGCGCAGAAACCGACTGATTATTTTTTTAAGAGACAGTTTTGCTCTGTCAATCAGCGTGAAGTGCAATGGTGTAATCATATTTCATTGCAGTCTTGAACTTCTGGGCTCAATTTATCCTCTTGCCTCAGCCTCCCTAGTAGCTCCGACTACAACTGTGTGCCATCACACCCAGCTAGTTTATTTTATTAGATTTTTGTAGACAGTTGGGGGTCTTTCTGTGTCCCAGGCTGGTCTTCAACTCTTGGCCCCAAGTAATCCTCCCTCCTTGGCCTCCCAAAGTGCTGGGATCACAGGCATGAGTCATGGCACCTGGCCTAGTTTGCCAATTTTTGAGGACATTCCCTCTATGTTCATAAAGGACTTAGGTTTATATTTTTTATTACTTGTAATTTCTTTGACAGATTTTTGTATCATGATTATGATACCCCTCATCCCGCCAAATGAGTCAGGGAAACAGTAGGGTGTTCCCCGCTCCCTGGGATGAAGTCTCACTCTCTTGCCCAGGCTGGAGTGCAGTGGTGTGATCTCAGCTCACTGCCAACTGTGCCTTCCAAGTTCAAGAGATTTTCCTGCCTTAGCCTCCAGAGTAGCTGAGATTACAGGCGCGTGCCACCAAGCCTGGCTAATTTTTGTATTTTTAGTAAAGAAGTGGTTTCACCATGTTGGCCAGGCTGGTCTCGAACTCCTAACCTCAGGTGATCTGCCTGCCTCGGCCTCCCAAAGTGCTGGAATTACAGGGTGTGAGTCACCACACCCAGCCAACAGTAGGATCTTTTAAACTTCACATAATGAAGAGAATGTTCTGCTTATTTATATATTGAATTGACAGACATGCATTTTGTATTTTAATTAACCATTATCACTTCCATTCAGTTAAAATAAATTCTTAGCATACCTAAGAATTGAGAGTAGTTAACTGATGTAATATTAGGTCCAAATAAGCAGTAAGTATGCATATAATCTCTTTATAACGTACTTTCCAGAACTGGTGCAGTGGCTCATGCCTATAATCACAGCACTTTGGGAGACTGAGGTGGGTGGATCACCTGAGGTCAGGAGTTTGAGACCAGCCTGGCCAACATGGTGAAACCTCATTTCTACTAAAAATACATAAATTAGCTGGGCATGGTGGTGCATGCCTGTAGTCCCAGCTACTTGGGAGGCCAAGGCAGGAGAATCACTTGAATCTGGAAGGCGGAGGTTGCAGTGAACCGAGATTGCACCCATTTCATAACAGCCGGGGTGACAGAGCAAGACTCTGCCTTAATGTTTTAATTATTATTAAAAATGTTTAATGATGCTACCTAACAAGTCTTTCTTAGAGCGAGCAAACTAAGGCTGTTTCTTCTCTGTCCTTTCATCTGTTTGACATCAAAAAATAGATAGCTGTTTTAGAGTTTGTATGTGGTGCCAATAAAGCTTCCATTCTTTTGAGTTAAGGCTAGTATGCTCTTTGTCTAAGACCATATTGCTCTTTTCAAATTTTAGTTACATGAGCACGCAGCATACCTTGTGGATAGCATGTGGGATTGTGCAACTGAGCTGCTCAAAGACTGGGAATGTATGAATAGCTTGTTGCTGGAAGAGCCACTTAGTGGAGAGGAAGGTAAGGATGTTTAATTAAGATATTTTTGTTTAGACAGTTTTGTAAGTAGCTTTTTACTGATTTCATTTGTTTATCCTTTTAATTTTAAGATAATTTGATAGAAAATCTGACTTTGTGCATAGTTTTATTTTCGTATACATAAATATTATGCTATGTAAAAAGATGTAATTGCTGTCAACATGCTTTATTTTTTTGTATCTGAGTTCTTACTTTCTTTACCCAAATGTATGGATCTGTGGTGGATAGATTTGGAATGCTGAGGGATTTAGGAAGGTTATCTTTTCTGTGATGTAGTAATGGGATTTTCTTTAGTACCTTAGGTCAGATTCTGTTTACAGGCAGAAGAAACTGTTATGTAATAATTACAAGTGCCATATAGAGAGAAGAAATAGGCTGTTTCTTTCTGACTTTTTTTTTTTTTTTTTTTTTTTTAGCACTAACAGATAGGCAAGAGAGTGCTCTGATTGAAATAATGCTTTGTACTATTAGACAAGCAGCTGAATGTCATCCTCCCGTGGGAAGAGGGACAGGAAAAAGGGTATGCCAATCAATGTATTTTCAGTATTCTAAACTCTATTTCTCCTTTTTCAGTATCTTTTTAAATATTTCATTTTAACCATGAAACAACATTCTAAAATTTTATTTTTCAGAAGACCTTTGCTTATAAATGTGTTAGAAGTAAATTTTAAAGCATTAACTATTTGAGAAATTTGAGTTCTTTATAGATACTTCTTTAGTTACTGCAAGAGATACGATTAACAGTCCTTGCCTTCATGACTGAATGTAGTGTGCACCATTTGGAATGGTGCAGTTATGTGTTTTATTTATAGATTTGCTATCATTTTCTTCTAAAATAAAATTAGAAATAAAAGTGGAGCTAATTTTTTATTAAAACAGGGAAATTTTAATGCATTATTATAAAGTTTACATGAATTTGCATTTTGTATCAACAACAGGCTTTTTCAAACTTTTGACTGTAACGCACAAAAATACATTTTTATATTGTGATCTATTACACATGAATATATTTGTGTTTGTATATAACTGAAACAAAATTTTATTGAAGACACTGAATGTGATGCTTTCTATATTTTCTGTTTCTGTTTTTAAAAAATTTCTGTTTCTTGTTAATTGCTGATAGCAATTTAGTGTTTTGAATTTGTAACTTACGTGTCATGTACCACAGTCTAGAGTAAGCAGAAATGCTGATCGATTCCTATATATATATATATATATATATATATATATATATATTTTTTTTTTTTTTTAAGACGGGTTTTCACCATGTTGGTCAGGCTGTTCTTGAACTCCCAACCTCAGGTGATCCGCCCGCCTTGGCCTCCAAAGTGCTTGGATTACAGGCGTGAGCCACCATACCTGGCCTCAATTCTAGTATTTTATATATAAGCTCCTAAGCTATATTTTCTATTTTTAACTGATTGTCCTATCATCCAAACATAGAATTGGTTAGTCTTATTGGATATTGATTTTCCCTCTAGGACTATCCAAATTTTTTTTGTTATTTCAGATGGCTTTGTGTTTTTATCATATGTAGTTACTCTCTTTTGTGTTACTTTTAGGGATAATGTTTTATAGTGAAATTTTTGTGTCCATCTTTTAAAGTTTTAGTAATCATTTCGTATGTTTTAACTAAAACTTGAACATTTAACAGTTAGTGGGCTTAATAAATATAAAAGTCTTTGTGCTACTTTAGGTGCTTACAGCAAAGGAGAAGAAGACCCAGTTGGATGACAGGACGAAGATCACTGAGCTTTTTGCTGTGGCCCTTCCTCAGTTATTAGCAAAAGTAAGTTTGTGTCAATATCATAGTGTTACTAAAGAAATCACAGTTTTTTTCTAAGTGACTCTCAGAATATTATAATGCTTATTGTGATCTTTTCAACATGATCTTTCTATTTCACAGTACTCTGTAGATGCAGAAAAGGTGACTAACTTGTTGCAGTTGCCTCAGTACTTTGATTTGGAAATATATACCACTGGACGATTAGAAAAGGTAAGATTATTTTGTGTAAAAAAAGAAAAAAACCTTAAAAATTGTTTAGCTCATTTCATCATAGAGTTTGTATTTCTTAAAATTTGTTTCTGGAACATATTTTAAGAAAGGAAACCTATAGCTTAGGTCTTCCGTATTTTAGATTAGTTTGACTTAAAGAATGGTGGTAATGATGCTTCCCTTTGCTTCATACCCACAACTGTACCTTCATTCTTAGCTATTATGTTACTATATCACTGACCACTTATGGAGACTGGGGGTGGATAACTAGATAATAACAATTAGATGAGATTGGGTGCATTCAGGGTGGTATGGCCATAGATGATAATAACAATTATAAGACAGGATCAGCTAATATTTATTGAACACTTTTGCTATGTTCTATGAATTATTGTAAGCTCTTTATATAAACATTCTCACCACAGCCCTGTGAGGTAGATAATATTACTTCCCTTAAAGTTGAGGAATAAGTATGGCTGGATCAGTATATTTATTTATGATTAGAAAAGTGCCTTAAAATGTATGCCCCGTGTTACAGAGTTACTGTATTTGAAAAATTTCTCCCTGGTGATACGGTGATGTAGTCACTTTATACCTATCGTATATACCTTAGTTTTAATGAAAAAATGTTATTATTTTGCAGCATTTGGATGCCTTATTGCGACAGATCCGGAATATTGTAGAGAAGCACACAGATACAGATGTTTTGGAAGCATGTTCTAAAACTTACCATGCACTCTGTAATGAAGAGTTCACAATCTTCAACAGAGTAGATATTTCAAGAAGTCAACTGATAGATGAATTGGCGGATAAATTTAACCGGCTTCTTGAAGATTTTCTGCAAGAGGTATATATTATAAGTATTACAAGTATTTTGTCAGTTGAGATCCTCCATTTCAGTAAGCTACTTAGTCGCCCAAGTGTTAGTCCTAGTGATAGTCTTTAGCAGTGTTTTGAAACGATGTTCAGGCTTTTCATTCTGTGACTCATTGGGCTACTCCTCCACCAAAATAGGAAAGTGGTAAGAATCTGTGACTTAGATAAGGGGAAAGCAAAATTAACATCTTTTTTGTTTTGAGAAATGATCTGGACAGTTAGTTACCTGGTGTTCATTGAACCAGGGCTGTTAAGAAATAGGGCGTTACTGGAACAGAAAAGGAGAGCTAGATTTAGAGTAGGTAGCCTGAAAAAGTAGAGTATTTCTCAGTGTTTTGGCAGTGTAGGTTAGGGAAGGACATTACGTATTTTGTTTGTTTGTTTGTTCGAGGCGGAGTCTTGCTCTGTTGCCCAGCCTGGAATGCAGTGGTGCCATCTCAGCTCACTGTAGCCCCTGCCTCTCAGGTTCACACTATTCTCCTGCCTCAGTCTCCCAGGTAGCTGGGACTATAGGCATGCGCCACTGTAATGGGCTAATTATTGTGTTTTTAGTAGACAGGGTTTTGCCATGTTGGCTAGACTGGTCTTGAATTCCTGACCCCAGGTGATCCACGTGCCTTGGGCTCCCACAGTGCTGGATTACAGGGGTGAGCCACTGTGCCTGGCCTGGTTTTTGATATTATAAAACTTTAATAAATTACTGTTATAGCCACTGCTACTTTTGGAGTGTCCTGTGTTCTCTTGTATTTCCAAAGAGGCTTAGTGCATAGCACTTAAATGCACTTGTATTTTTATTGTGATTGTTATTTTTTCCAGAAATATATATTTACATTAAATTTTTTTGAATAAAATAAAAATTCATAATTGTCAAATTAATGCCATTAACCTTTTAAACATCAGTTTTATTGTTAATGCTGTAAAATCATATAGACTTTGTAATTTCTAGTTTTCTTGTTTTATTAATTACTCATTTAACTTTTATTTAGTGTATATCATTATTCCTGCCTTATTAAGTTTTACTAATTGGAGGTTTGTGCAAATATGTTGATGTACGATTATTACATTCTCAGTTAAAAATTTTAATGGCTCTACTTATGGCTGAATATGATTGTGATTAGGACAAAATAATTTAAAATCAAGCAATGGTTAATTAAATTTAATTACTTTGTAGAAGAATTACAGTTTAAAAACAAGTGCTTTTTTGAGAGAACTAGAGTTCAACACAGTAGAGTCAATAGTGTGTAAGCAATTTAGTTTCCTGGAGTAAGACTGGTAAAAGTTTTCAAAACTTAAGTTATCCTAAGTTGAAAAGTATATTAACAGATGTTGCTAACCAACTAGGACCAGCATATATAGTCATTATTCAGAGGTTTTTCCCTATTTATTTGTTATTAGTGTCATATATCTTTATGATGATATATGTTTAAGGTACTTAGGTTTTGTCCTTTAGGTATTGTCTTTCTGATCTTGCCATTTAAGTATTTTATTGTCCTAGGGCATTTATTTCTGTGAAAAAATAGGTGCCTTTATAGTTTTGTGTCAAGTTTACTTAAAAGAAAAAGAAGAATATCATTTTCATTTTTTCTCTTGGTTATATTGTTCCTGTGATAACAAACTTGTGTTAACTCATTACCCCAGTTATATTGCCTTAAATTTCGCCAGATCTAGGTATTGAATGACAAGGTCATTTGTGGGTTTTGTTGTGTTAGTCTTTATTTTTCAAGGTAATAGTAACATTTTGATAGCCTAGAATTTTTCACTTTAATGGTTCTTAATGTGTAATTAATATTCATAGGGTGAAGAACCTGATGAAGATGATGCATATCAGGTATTGTCAACATTGAAGAGGATTACTGCTTTTCATAAGTAAGTTGACTTTTGAAGTTTTTGTTTTCTTAAAACTGTAGAAATGAACTTGCATGTTTTATGGGTTATAATGTTAATTTCTAAGCTAATTTGTTGTTGTTGTTGTAGGGGCATTTTTAAGTTTACTGTATTTACTGCATTCCGTTAATACTCAAGTCCAAAACAGTTGTCGTTAGGCTTAGCTGTTTAATAAAACTTAACGGTTTTTTTTTTCCTTTTATAGTGCCCATGACCTTTCAAAGTGGGATTTATTTGCTTGTAATTACAAACTCTTGAAAACTGGAATTGAAAATGGAGACATGCCTGAGCAGGTTTTTATTTATTTATTATTTATACATTTAACTTTGAAAAGTGAAGTCTTGTGACTTTTAAATTTTAACTATATCAATTTGATTCTTTTTACAGATTGTTATTCACGCACTGCAGTGTACTCACTATGTAATCCTTTGGCAACTTGCTAAGATAACTGAAAGCAGCTCTACAAAGGTTTGTGGTAGTTCAGTAGTGTTTTTATGTGACTAAATGTCATTTAACAGTTTTCAGCAAACTTACATATTTAATGAGATCCATTATTTCAGTGAAATGTTGCTTAATTAAAAATTGTTCACATTTTAAGGTGGCATGATCTGTGGTTTTCTGTATTCTCAAAGTTGGTGACCAAGAGCCTTTGAAACAGATATAAGTATTAGATTGCATAAATTGAAGATAATAAACCAACTGCCTCTAGATCTTCTTATGCCCTGGTATTGTTTTGGGATCACCTTATTCATATTCAGGATCTCTCTAGTGATATTTCAAATTCGTGATCAATCATTTTCTGATTGAATATTTGATGTGCCAGTGCCAGCTAATTGTACATATAGAGCTTTTAAAGCCTTACCCATAATGGTAATCCTTAGTGTGTTTAGTAATTGAACTAAACAGCACTACCTTTTCCATTTGTAAATTGGAAGCTTAAACATTGTATTTGTAATACTGGATATTGCCTTAAATATTGTTTGGGCTCATTTTTAAAAAATATCCAGCAGTTTCTGAGAGTTTTGCAGTTTGTTGTCTGTAGACGTTTTCTTCAAAAAGGAATCCTCTTGATAATAAGTTTGTGTTGCCTAAACCCACAGATTAATGTTAAATGCGTAGAATTTCTCTGGGCTTTTAAGATGCTATTAACATCCACAAATGGATTTTTCCTCTTGAAAAATCAGTATAGTGTTGTTAACATTATGCACTTTTTTTTTTTTTTTTTTTTTTTCCCTTTGAGGCAGAGTCTTGCTCTGCCATCCAGGCTGGAGTGTGATGGTGCGGTCTTGGTTCAGTGCAACTTCTGACTCCTGGGCTCAAGCATTTCTTGTGCCTCAGCCCCCTGAGTAGCTGGGACTGCAGTCATGCACCTCCAAACCCACTAATTTTTGCATTTTTAGTAGAGATAGGTTTCACCATGTTGGCCAGGCTTGTCTTGAACTCCTGGCCTCAACTGAACCGCCCACTTTGGCCTTCCAAAGTGCTGGGATTATAAGCATGAGCCACTGTGCCCCGCCCATTGTGTACTTTTTATCAAACACTTAGGAAAAAGTTTATTTAAGTAAATGTTAAACTTATAGTAGGAACGGTGACTATATTAGCATGTATGTTGCTTATCTATGCTGAAAGCTAAAAAACTGGAAAAAAAAGGCCGTATTTTTAGTAGAGGAAAGTGGTGAATAGAACGTTATTTGTGGTACGCCGGGTGCAGTGACTGACGCCTGTAATCCCAGCACTTTGGGAGGCTGAGGAGGGTTGCTCACCTGAGGTCAGGAGTTTGAGACCAGCCTGGCCAACATGGTGAAACCTTGTCTCCACTAAAGATACAAAAGCTAGCTGGGTGTGGTGGCAGCACCTGTAATCTCAGCTACTCAGGATGTTGAGGCAGGAGAATTACTGCCTCAACCTGGCAGGCAGAGGTTGCAATGAACCGAAACCATGCCACTGCACTTCAGTGTGGGTGACAGAACAAGACTCCATCTCAAAAAAGAAGAAAATTCAAAAGTTAGAGACATTTTAACATTTCGAGTAATACCACAAAATAGATGTTTTCCATTCTGAGTTTTTATAAAGTACAGCCAGTATCTTTCTAACAAGAAATGGAAGATGCTGTTTCTTTTTTATTATTTTCTTCCATTTATGGGTTGACCACCCTTCAAATGATGTGAGCCTGGAGCATAAATCTTTGTTAGCATACTGTGCTAATGGCTTTATTAAAGATTGCCATATCGATCATATAAGTTTTCTCATCCTCTTAATATACTAAAGTCTTAGGATATTATCTATTAATATACCTCATTCTTCTTTTTCTTTTTTTTTTTTTTTTGAGACAGAGTCTTGCTCTGTTGCCAGGTGCCAGGCTGGAGTGCAGTGGCGCAATCTCTGCTCACTGCAACCTCCGTCTCCCAGGTTCAAGCAATTCTCCTGCCTCAGCCTCCCGAGTAGCTGGGACCACAGGTGCGCGCCACCACGCCCAGCTAATTTTTTGTATTTTTTAGTAGAGTTGGGGTTTCACCATGGTCTCCATCTCTTGACTTTGTGATCTGCGCGCCTTGGCCTCCCAAAGTGCTGGGATTACAGGCGTGAGCCACCGTGCCCAGCCCTTGTATTTTTAAGGTTGCAATTTGGTGAGATTTATAAGACAAATTGTTTCGTTTTCTTTGTTTTTGTTTCTTTTAAATTATAAAGAAGAAATTTAAATCAAATGTACAAGTAGAGTTAATAAAGCTATATATATGATAATGTTTTATGTAATTGAAAACATTTTAAAGAAATACTAAATTGTTTATACAATATTTTTTAAAAGTTCATGTTAAATTTTTTCAAGGAGGACTTGCTGCGTTTAAAGAAACAAATGAGAGTATTTTGTCAGATATGTCAACATTACCTGACCAACGTGAATACTACTGTTAAGGAACAGGTTAGTAATTACTATAGGTGATAATCTTTTTGTAAGCAATCTTTATAAAATCTGAACTAATATAGATAGTTTAAATAATACTAAGGTTGAGCAAAGCATAAATGTCTTTTATCTGCCTATGTATGCCTACTAAGAAAATAGGTTAATATGCTGGACTCGTGCATAAAAATTGATTAATTTCATACAGAGTTTATAATTGCATTATAGATTACCCTTATATTATAGCTATTTTATGTTGTTGTTTATGACATATACGGTATGTCATATAAATTATAGGTGTATGAAATCACAAAAGTCATTCCTGAAAGCAACTAATATACCAAGTTTGCTCCAGGGTGGAAAGTCCATAAGGTTTTGTTATCTCTGAGAATATCAGATGTTGGCATTCTCGCCCATCTTGATCTTCCTGTGGACCTTGTCTGAAATAAACATTTATAATCACTTTCCTGTCTTCCCTGTGTTACCTTCCCAACCATATGCCTTCATGCTTCCATTACTTCCAACCTTTTCAAATCTGGAAATAGACTGTTACTGGTTTGATCCTAGAACTAACATCATGTTCAGTTCTAATTCCCTAACTGAGAGGATTAAGCTTCATTGGAAACATGCTTTTAAAATGCTTTTATGGGAGGATGTTTTTGCAAGCATTTCATAAGAACTATTAATGTGGTATAATCAAAATAATTATGGTGATTTCAAAGTTTACAACCATTTCATACAGCTTAACCTTTGTTTCTTGAGGTAGAATCTCAATAGTCAACCTGACTCTGATTTTTGGACGCTGTGGTATGTTAGGTATATTTATTTTAGGTCAGTGTTATTCAAATATACCAACCCTTTTGTTTGGCACTTGTCTTTATTTAATTTAAAAATATCAAAGCTAATTTTAATAAAACATACTTGGATTTTTGTATTTTAAAATGTTCATTCAATGCCCAGCTGTTAGCCTCTTTTTTTCTTCTTTCCAGCTCTCTCTTGTCCCTACCATACATATATGCTTGGTCATACATGAATTAGAAGGTATTCAATGGGCAAGATGCAGTTACTGCATTTTGCCTTTTTTTCCCCAAAAATATGAAGTATATTGCCATAACTATTACATTGCTGAATTCTCTCCAATTTTACATGTGTAGTTTTGAACTATGGCAATAAAGGGTGTGGTACTTTAATTTTCATCTCTGTAATTCAGACGAAAGGAACAAGATTGCTGATGGTATTAAATTGAGTTTACATTTAAACTCTTGGAATAGGATTTTAATGACATGCACGGATCCAAACCTCATGCATGAAATATTACTTTATATTTGCATGTGACACCAAGATATTCAGCATAATATTCCCTATTTTTATAGTATTAGCACATAATCCTTGTGGGTTATCCTGTGTAACCTCTTATATAATCCCTTGTTCAGGTCATAGAGATTAATTATTTGGTTATTAAATAGCTTGTGTGCCCAGTCTTCCCAGCAGCTTCCCAGAATATTTCCTGGCCAGCTCACTTGCTTTCCCAGTTTAGCTAATTAGTAAATATCATCATACTTAATAATTTATATCCTTACTCTTTATGTTGCAAGTTTTTGTAAACTGAAATATGCTAATAGGTATAAATTACTATTATAGCAGTTAGGAGAAGAGACGGAAGGAAGGAGTAAAAACGTAAAGAGAAAAAGTAAATATGGTTAGTTCCAAAATGGAAAAACTGTTAATAAGATCTGCTTTGTGCTCTGTATTATATTGTCTTTCCAGGAATGGTCTTCCTTTAAATGTATTTTCTGATTTACTTTAACCCTAAAATTCTGTTTTCATTACCGCTTACCAGCAAATAATTAACTAGTCTGTGACTCCATTTAAGACCCATGACAGAGTTTTTGTTAAGCTCCTTAAGATACAATTTCAGCCTTATGTTTATTGTAATACATTCAGATTTACCTGATAAATAGCAAGCAGCCCCATATCTGCTTATGTTTTCTCTTACTTAATCAGTACTTGTGTGAACAATGAGAGTGCTTAATAAGCACCATAGATTTTGTGATCTCTATTCTAATACTTCTTTAATGTTTTTTCTCCTGTAGAATGAGGATTGGTTTATATATTATTTCATATTTGAGAATGAATACCTTGGGGCATTGCAATATAGTGCAAAATAGGGGATTTGGTGTTAGAAAACCTAAGTTTGAGTTGTGACCCTGCACGTTTTGGCAGTGTGTAGCATATTGTCAAGTCACTTAACGTTACTGAAAATTAAAAAAAAAATGTGAAATTACTTTGCATTTAGTAAACCATTATACAATTATAAGGAGTCATTGTTACAGAAATTATACTTCTCAGCTTTAGAATCTTAGGAAAATACTAAACATCGATTTCTCTTAAAGATTTTTAAATATAGAGAATTGGATTCTGTTTCTGTGTTAAATAAGTAAATCATGTGGCAGTTAGTGAGAAACCTTGAATTATAGCATGCTTTCCTCTTTTTTTTTTTTTTTTTTTTTAAATAGGCCTTCACTATTCTGTGTGATATTTTGATGATCTTCAGCCATCAGATTATGTCAGGAGGGCGTGACATGTTAGAGCCATTAGTTTATACCCCTGATTCTTCATTGCAGTCTGAGTTGCTCAGCTTTATTTTGGATCATGTCTTCATTGAACAGGATGATGATAATAATAGTGCAGGTAATTTTGCCATCTTTTTATTAAATCTGTGTGTCCATCATAAACTCAAACTTAAGTAACAATGATGTACATTGCTGTGCACCAGTATATTTTATCCTTAAAAACGTGAAACACAGGTATATATTCCAGCACATCTATGTTCATTTTTTGTATTATTGTAAAGAAAATGCGATGTTGCAGAGGACAGGCTTTTAAGTCAGGTCTCTGCTTCTCACTAGCCCTGAGCCTGCTTTCTTATTTCTAAATACCTCATAAGACTGTTAAAAATTGAGCCAAATGACTAGTACAGTGCCTGGACATATAGTAGGTACTCAATAAAATTTACTCCCTCTTGCTCTTATTCATTGGTAATACCTATATTCAGATAATTTGAGAAGAATGAAGTATTTAAGTGACCTTTTGTTGTGTACTTGTATACCATAGGTTTTTTATTTTGGGAATATTAATGTGATTTCTGAATGTTAGAAAAATGTTTGAAACTGCTCTGTAAAAGTCTGGGGAAGTACAGAATATTCACAAGAAAAGCAAACCAGCCTCACCTAGTAAATTATTCTTTACACTCTGTCTACATACCCTAACTGCCTTACTTGAGCATGAAGTCATGGAAAACAAGTGATATTTGGTTGCTTTTTTCTGGGTTTATTTTTAGTTTGAAGGTATATTTTTGTTTTATTTTTCGTTTTTAGAAACAGGGTCTCACTCTGTTGCCCAGCCTAGAGTACAGTGGCATAATCATAGCTCACTGCACCCTCAACCCCCTGACCAAAGTAATCCTCCAGCCTTAGCCTCCTGAGTAGCTAGGACTACAGGTGGTACGCCACCACTTTTGGCTAATTTTTTGTAGACATGAGGTCTTGATATGTTGCCAAGGCTGGTCTTGAACTCCTGGCCTCAAGTGATCCTCCTGCCTCGCCTTCCTAAGTGTGAAGCTATACTTAAAGGAAAATAGACCGTCAACATGTATATGTCCATACTGATGTATCACTGCATGTGAAGATGTAAATAAACATATAATTCTGTACGTGGCCTGTAGGTTATTTTTAGGAATAAAGAGCTTTGTGCTCATATACTAACAACTTAACCCTGAATACAAATGAGAAACCCAGAGTAGCCAAAACAGTTGTCAGAATCCATGTTGTGAAGTTTATATACTTCAATTTTTCGTATGTCACTCAAAACTATTGGCTTAGTTGTGCTTTTATTCCTAACATTGATTTGCAAACATTTATTGGTCAGTCAGGCAGTTTACTAGAATGGTATGGATATGAAAAGATGACACAAGGTCTCATCCTTCAAAAATTAAATTCAGGTTGAAAAGAACCAAGTAAGTATAGTGCAGTTTTTTTTTTTTTTTTTGAGACAGAGTCTCACTCTGCCACCCAGGCTGGAGTAGTGCAGTGGCACAGTCTTAGCTCACTGCGGCCTCTGCCTCCCAGGTTCAAGCGATTCTCCTGCCTTAGCCTACCCAGCCCCTGGGATTACAGGCACCCACCACCACGCCTGGCTAATTTTTCTTTTTTTTTTTTTTTTTTCTTGTTTTAAGTAGAGGCAGGGTTTTACCATGTTGGCCAGGCTGGTCTCAAACTTCTGACATCAGGTGATCCACCCGCCTTGGCCTCCCAAAGTACTGGGATTATAGGCGTGAGCCACCAACTCCTGGACTATAGTGCAATTTTTAATAAGTAATGGAGACATGTACAAAGTGTTGTGGGCATGTAGAGTAAATTCTCACTGATCTGCAGGTATTGAAGCATCTTTCGAGAGGCTAACATCTGAAATTAATCCAAAAAAATGAATAGGACTTTGCAAAACTTCTTTTTTAAACTTCTAAAGCTCTATGAGAAAGCACAGTTGCATTCTGAAACCTGATACAAAATAAGTTTTGGTACATAACGCTTTTGTTAATTTGGGGCTGCCTCAGCTTCATTTAGTTCATGGGAAATTGAATTAGAGTAAGCTTGCCAAAACTCTTGAGTTTTCTGGGAGCTTCCTAGAATTACCCACAGCATCTTATCTCCTTGGACTCTGTGTGTGTGTGTGTGTGTGTGTGTGTGTGTGTCACTGTGTCACCCAGGCTGAAGTGCTTGGACTGTATATGTGTGTGTCAGAGTCTCACTGTGTCACCCAGGCTGAAGTGCTTGGACTGTATATGTGTGTGTCAGAGTCTCACTGTGTCACCCAGGCTGGAGTGCAGTGTTGTGGACTCCATATAGCTCATTGCAGCCTAGATCTCCCAGGTACAAATGATTCTCCCACCTCAGCCTCTGGAGTAGCTGGGACTTAAGTGTGTGTCACTCCGCGTGGCTAATTTATTTGATTTTTTAGTAGAGATGAGGTCTCGCTATGTTGCGCAGGCTGGTTTTGAACTCCTGGACTTAAGCAATCCTCTCATCTTGACCTCTCAAGGTGCTGAGGTTACAGATGTGAGCTACTACGCCCGACATTATTTTCACTTTTAACATGAAGTGCATTCTAGTTCAATGGAAGAGTATAAAATACAACAGATTTGTACATAGCCATTCCATTTAGCTTTATTTGTTTTAGGTTTTTTAAAGAAATAAAAGCACAGTTATAATAGAAGCCCTCATTTGTATTCCTCCCTTATCCTGTTATCCTCCCCTTTCCTCTAGAGATAACTGCTACCCCAAATTTGTTGTTTGTCACACCTTTGCATTTTAATTTTATTTTACTAAGAATTTGTATGTGTTAACAATATATAGTTCATTTTTCCTTGCTAACTTCCATGTAAATGGTATTATGTTCAACCTTTTGCAATTTTCTTTTTTTCTTGTCTTCTTTTTAAAATATGAAATGAGATCTTGCTATATTGCCCTGGCTGGCCTCAAACTCCTGGGCTCAAGCAGTATTCCTGCCTCAGACTCCTGCCTCAGACTCCTGCCTCAGTCTCCTGAATATCTGGGATTATAGGCACACACTACTGCACCCAGTGCAATTTTATTTTTTGAATTTACATTCTTGAGACTTTTCAAAATGTTGACATGTGGTTACAATTCACTCATTCTAGCTGCTGAATATTACATGATACAAGATAACCACAGTTTATCCATTTCCTTATTTTTAGACATTTAGGCTATTTCTACTTTTCCCTCAATTAAAATAGTGTTACAACAAATATTTCAATGTTTAGTTCCTTGAACACATACACAGTTGCTTTTCTAGTGAATACATGAGTGGAATTGCTAGATTATACAGTGTGTGTGCATCTTAAACTTAATTATATGTTGCCAAAGTGGTTGTATTGTTTTACCCTCTTTCCAGCAGCATGTGATAGTTTCCATTGTTACTCATCCTCACCTAACACCTGGTATTGTAGACTCTTGGATATTGGATTTGTTAGCCCACATCAGATTGTAAAGGGAGAGTAAAATAGGGAATGCTTCTAGAGGCATTTATTGACAATATATTATAATAATGGCAGTTGACACTTGTGAAAAGCCCAGTATGATAGGTACTTCTCTACATTCCTTAACACCCACAAGAGAAAAAGTTGGCTAATTCTTGCAAGCAGTTACTGGAGAAAAATAAAAATCAGGGTTTAAAACTCTTAATATCATAGGATAGTTTTAGTCTTTAGAGGGAAAGTATCTGCCATTGGAAACAATGTTATGTATAAATTGTTTATTATAGTGACAGAATTATTAAGAAAAGTTTACTTTATATATTGTGTAATGATATGTCTTAGGTTTCTAAGCAAATAGTGTTGTATCTTGGGACATACATTTGAGATACAACTTTTTCTGATGGTCTGTCTTAAATTCTTATTCTTAAAATTTGATTTTAGTTTACTAGAAGTTATCAAAGATTACAAGAGACAGGATGAAAATTAATTAAAGAACATTCTTACTATACATAAAATAGTTTTTAATATTGGGAACCTTATATTGGAGCTGATAGGCTATGCATAGACTGTTCACCAGATGAATTATAAGTGATGAATAAACATAAAGAATTTTAACTTTGCTTAACTTGGGATAGTGGTTTTTTACAAGTCATTTCATTTGTAAAATCTGTCCAGAGGAAAAAATTTTTACATAGCTTTTTTTTTTTAATATAAAAGGCTTAATCACAGTTTTATTTACAGTATTCAATAAGTAAAAACAATTCTTTGGCATTGCTTGGAGGCTGCAATGGGGCTTCCCTGACTACAGATTTGGAAATAAGTTTGTCTTCTTGAGAATTAAATGTCAAGATTTCACATGATGGATCAGAGTAGAAATGTGCAAGATTAGCTTAAAAAGACAGAATGGTTCCTGGGACCTGTCAAGCTGAATATATTTAATGTGTACAAAGGAGGACAGTTATAGCCAGATTTTGGTGTTTCAGGTAAGGTGGGATCATCCTTGGAAGTGTGATAGGAGAAATTCTGAGGTTGGCGGTGTTCAGGAAAGTAAGAGCCTTAACTAACAGACATTGAATATGCAGATTTTGTTGACAAACTATCCTGCTAGGGAAGTAGACTAATGTTAGGCAAGTTTAGCGTGACTTCACTCAGTGAACATGGAATACAAACAGAGGAAGTGATTCAATTCCATTTGTTCTGATTATTATTTGATATTACAAAAATTTGATCTGTTGGAATAAATTATGAATGGTTTATAATTTTAATTTTGCTGTTTTTACCTTTTCAAATTCTTTTATATATAAAAGCATATTTTATAGTGAGAATTAAAAAAAATACATGGTTGAAATAAAATAGAAGATGGCTTAATGTTTGGGACTTTTTCTCCAGATGGTCAGCAGGAGGATGAAGCCAGTAAAATTGAAGCTCTGCACAAGAGAAGAAATTTACTTGCAGCATTTTGTAAGCTAATTGTATATACTGTGGTGGAAATGAATACAGCTGCAGATATCTTCAAACAGTATATGAAGGTAAAGCTGAAAAATGGACAGCAAAATAATTTTAAAATATAACACTGGTTTTTCTGCATGGTTGCCATTAAATTAAGTGGTAAATTACAATTCTAGTATAAAAGAGTTGTATTTTAAAATATTTAATATTTTCAGTAATATTTCCTTATACCTCTACTTCAGTTAATGGACATTTTGGTTTATTGTGTTTATTTGCATTTGGAATATAAGAGATGGCCTCTTTTAATTTGTCACTATTAGAAATAGTATTTATGATTCAGTTTAAGATAATAGGATGGCATCCCTCCTCTGCCTGATGTAGCATTAAAAAGAGTTTCAGGAGTCAGAAGACTTGGGTGATAGTTTTGGCTTGGTTACCAAGCATCTTGCGATCTTGAGTAACTCAAAACATTTTGCGTCCTGAGTTCCTTTATCTGTTTCACTGTAATTGTTAAGATTCCCTTTGGCTTCAAAATCTGACTTGATTCACCATAGGTTATTCATAATTTTCATAACTGTATGTGAGGTTTTGTAGGTTTAAAGTAATAATAAAAAATATTTATACTAACAGAATGTGACTAAATTTGGTAAGATAGCTTTAAAAACCGTTCCTCAAGTAAAATCTAATTATAAATGTAAACTTTTTAAAGCCTTTGCTATCAAGAAATAAAATATGTAATAAATTTATTAAAACCTAGTTAATCCTCCTTGGAATATTTTGCTACTTGAACTCTAATATCATTGAAAATTATTTTGGAACTTAGATGTTTTGGCATAATTACCCCTTCTTTCTTTCTTTTTTTTTTTTTTATACTAAGGTTGTTTATGAAGTTCTTCAACGCATTTTAAAGCTTTAGACTTAGGTATTCTATAGCCACTTATTAGTCATAGGGACATGGTTATTCTGTTATCTCTGGTAATTGTTATTGTATGTATTTGAAACATGATCTTAAATTAGGAAAAAAATTCATGTGCAATATGTAATGTAAATGACATGTACAACAACTTTTCTTTTAAAAGTTGTTTACAGGCTGTTAGATTCTCTAAGCCAAATGTTTTAAGCTTCTCATGGTCTATATACCCAATATCAATGAATTAGTTATAAGAGTAACTGAGATTATATTCATTGTTTTACAAAGAGAATTTTGTTTGTATATTTTTCATTACTTCTGAAAATCTGCATAACCTAATTGTTGTTTTAGCCAATGTATCTTCTTTATTTTAAACCAAGTCTGGAGCTTAATTTGATCAGATCTTAACTGTTTTGTATGTATGATTTTACTGAAGTTAGCGGTTGTATGCTTAGAAATGATCTTTAGGTTTCAGTTACATTCTCTCCTGGCTTTGAAGCCATAATTTTGGCCAAATACCTTGTGACATATTTACATGACTAACCTAAAATTAGTCTTATTGTCCAGTAGTTTTAAGAGATAAAGCTCTAATTTGTACAAATTTCTTTTCAGTATTATAATGACTATGGAGATATCATCAAAGAAACAATGAGTAAAACAAGGCAGATTGACAAAATTCAGTGTGCTAAGACCCTTATTCTCAGTCTACAACAGGTAAGCATTGAGAGTACCAACGTTAGCTAACACAATTAACACCCGGTAGCAAAATAAGGTAGCAATTGAAATTGGGCAAAGGGTGCGATAGGCAATTTATAAAAGTAGAAATACAAGAAACTACAAGTGAGATTTTTTTTTCTTTTTTTGCTTTCAAACTGTCAAGATTGGCAAAACCTGTAGCTATCTAAGGTGTGAAGGAAATAATAGATATGGTAGGCAATTCGGCAATTTATGTAAAAATTTATAATGTGTATGCCTGAGGCAGCAATTCTACTTTTTAAATCTACTCTTTTATCCAAGGTGATAAAAACACAAGTTTGCAAAAGTTGTTATACAAAGTTGTTATTGCAACATTGTTTATAGGAAGTCAGACATAATCTAAAAGTCTATATTAGGTAAATTTACTGTATAGTATATTTCTGCCACACTGTTGTACAGCGCTTAAAATTAGTGTAGGTCTATATTCATTAAAGTATAAAGAGCTTCGTAATCACAACAGTGGTTAACTTGCTTTGGTAGATTTCATGTTGAATTCTACTTTTTTCTCTGTATATTTCCAAACTTATTTTTGTGAGTGTATATTAATTTTATAACTAAAACACAATAGTTTTGCCCGGGCAAGGTGGTTCATGCCCGTAATCCCAGCACTTTGGGAGGAGGCCAAGGTGGGGGGATCACCTGAGGTCAAGAATTCAAGACCAGCCTGGTGAACATGGTGAAACCCCGTCTCTACTAAAAATACAAAAATTAGCTGAGTGCAATGGTGTGCACCTGTAATCCCAGCCATTCGGGAGGCTAAGGCACGAGAATTGCTTGAACCTGGAAAGGAGGTTGCAGTGAGCTAAGATTGTGCCACTGTACTCCAGCCTAGACGACAGAGTGAGGCTCTGTTTCAAAACAAACACACAAACAAAAAAAAAAAAAAACCCAATAGTTTTCATTTTGACAGTGGTAAGACAGTTTAATTAGGTAAAATTATTCACTTACTATACTTTTGTCTTTCGAGACAAAATTTGTATGCAAAACATAACCCATCCCGTTCCAGCTTAATCAACTTTCTTAATTTTAAGAAACATAGATATGAAAGTTCTTAATTTTATTTGAGAATTTGAATTTTCTCTATTAGCATTAATGAAATGTAGGATGGGCGCAGTGGCTGACAGCTGTAATCCCAGCACTTTGAGAGGCCAAGATAGGGAATTGCTTGAGCCCAGGAGTTCGAGGCTAGCCTGGACAACATAGCAGGAGCCCATCTCTACAGAAAAATGAAGAAAGAAAAATAAAATTAATAAAGTTTAAAAGGTTGAAGAGATGGCATTTAAATAACTTTTGCTATAAAGTAATAGCTGCTAGCTGTAAAAGTTTAGAAAAAAAAGGAACAAATGCAAATGATCCTTAATGTTTTCACTTGACAATAACCTTTTTATTTTTTAATGGCCTTGTTACTCTTTTTTTATGCCTACATGAAATCTGATTTTTTAACAAAAATTAAATTGTGCATTCCATTTTGTAAGGCTGCATTTTAATGTTAATAAATGCTGAACACATTTATGCCATTAACTTCCTTAGCATCTTTTTTTTTTTGGAGCAGGAGAGGCTCATTTATTTTTCTCCTAGATTTTTGTGAAGGTATAATTGAAAAGTAAGGATTCTGTATACTTAACGGTATACAGCATGATGCTTTGATATGTATGTATTGTGAAATGATTAAATTTAGCTAATTAACATAAACATTACATCACATACGTAGGGTAAGAACATTTAAGACTAACTGTCCTAGCAGTTTTTAGATAAACAGTACGGTACATTATTCTTAACTATAGTCACCATGCTATACAATAGATCTTCAGAACTTACTTATCCTTTCCTACTGAAACATTGTTCCCTTTAACCAACTTCTTAGCCTCCCCCAACCCCCAGTCCCTGGCAACCACCATTCTATTCTCTGCTTCTATAAGTTCCACTTCTTAGAGTCCATACACAAGTAAGATCACATAGTAGTTGTCTTTGTGTGCTTGCCTTATTTCACTTCATATAATGTTTTCCAGGTTCATCTTTGTTTTCACGAATTACAGAATTTCCTTCTTTTTAAAAGGCTGAATAATATTCCATTGTCTCTATGTGTAATGGAATGGAATATTATTTCTTTATCCATCCATGGACACTAAGTTTGATTCCACATCTAGGCTATTATGAATCATGCTGGAATGAACATGAGAGTGTAGATACCTCCTCAACCTATGGATTTCATTTTCTCTGGGTATATACCCAGAAGTCTTCCTTATTTTAAAAGGTTGACACATAATTGTACATATTTATGGGGTGTACATAGTGATGTTTTGGTACGATGTACAGTTAAAAAAGCAGGATAATTAGCATATCCATTTTGACAACTATATAATATTCCATTTTATAGATTAGACCACAATTTAACCAAAGTTTCCTTGTTTATGGTGAGGTTTTTTTTTTTTTTCCAACAATTTCTGCCATTATAAATAGCACTAAAACAAACATTTTTGTACATAGTATTATGGATATTCTTTTGGATAAAGTTCTATAATTAGAATTGCTTTGTTAAAGAAGATTAACATTTTTAAGCTTTCGCTATTTCATGTTGAGAGTTCTTGATGTGAAGATTCACCACTTCAATGTAAATAACAGAGCCTAATAATTTTCTGGGTTTTCTTTTTCTTTATATTTTTATATGCTATGTTAATATCCAATTAATACCAGCAGAATAGCATTCTGCTAAAACTAACCTAAAGGGTCTCTTCTAATGTTAATAACAACTTCCGGTTTAAATATATGAAGTACTGCAAGTTTGGTTATTCGTATCATGTTTTAATGTTTGGCGATAGAATACAGTGCCTCATGTATTTAACACCTATATTTTAAATGAAAATGTAATATTTTAAAAGATGTTAATCTCCAAGTATTAAGAACTTTAACATGCTTTCTTTCTTTCCAAACAGCTTTTCAATGAAATGATACAGGAAAATGGCTATAATTTTGATAGATCATCCTCTACATTTAGTGGCATAAAAGAACTGGCTCGACGTTTTGCTTTAACTTTTGGACTTGATCAGTTGAAAACAAGAGAAGCCATTGCCATGCTACACAAGTAATCTCCAGATATTTTATTCAGCTCTCATACTTTTTAGTCATGAAACATTTTTTTTGTATCTAGCCCTTTCATTTGGAATAACTAAATTAAATTTATGCTTTATTATTAGCTCATAAATCTGTACCCTATCTCCTTTCTTAATTTTAAAGAACCAGTTATAGTGCTATCTCAATTAACAAATGAGTTGGGACCGCGCCTGGTACTCATACTTGTAATCCCAGCACTTTGTGAGGCTGAGGCAGGCGGATCTCTTGAGGCTAGGAGTTTGAAAACAGCCTGGCCAACGTGATGAAACCCCGTCTCTACTAAAAATACAAAAATTAGCCGGGAGTGGTGGCATGCACCTCTAGTCCCAGCTACTCAGGTATGACAATGGCTTGAACCTGGGAGGGAGAGGTTGCAGTGAGCCGAGATTGTGCCATTGCACTCCAGCCTGGGTGACAGAGTGAGACTCCGACTCAAAAACGACAACAACAAAAAATGAGTTGGGATTAAAATTCCATTTATAAGCCTTTGTTTAAATTTAAACCATACAAAGTTTATAAATTATACGAATCAAAGCAGCCTAAATTCATCAAGCATTGCACAGCCTTTTTTTTTATTTAATCAACTTTTGTCATGATCTCATTGTTAGATGGAGAAATCTTTGAGGTTTGATTCCTTTGTCTCATGTTTTTTTTTTGGTTTTGTACTCTATTTTGTAGTGCCCTTTTCCCATGTTTTGATCCACAACCTTCTTTCCATCTGCATATTTTGTTCCGCTTATCAAAATTGGAAGTCATTTTATACTGGGCATGTAATTTAGTGATCAGTTGCACTTATAAAGTATGGATACATTTTAGACCTTTAACATAACCAATGTTTATTTATTAAAACCCTTTATCTGTTACCTGTGGGTTAAAGAACCTTGCTTTTAGAGTCTTGGACTCTCCTTCATCTTCTTGCTCATATAATTATAAAAGTATTAAATGTCTCTCTGAAGAAAATTTGCTGCTCTTGTTTAAGTTTTGCCTATACTCCATCAATTATTATTATCATTATTATTATTGTAGAGACAGGATCTCACCATGTTGCCCAGGCTGGTCTTGAACCTCTGGGCAAAAGAGATCATCCCACCTTGGCCACCCAGAGCACTGGGATTACAGGCATGAACCACCACACGTGGCTTCCTCCCTCAAGTTTAATTAACTCTGTCCTTTCACTTTGTTCTAAAATTCAAGTTTATTTTTATGTCTGTTAATCTATTAAATGGTAATTTTACATAATATTTAAGGACTACCTATATAGTATTTTCAGAAATAATATCTTTTTTTTCATGTAATAGCCTTCCTTCTTTCCTCCTTGATTCCATCTGGATTGTTTTTAACTCAGTTACATTTTTGATAGTTAAAATGTTGGGTTGTTATTTTGAGGAATAGAGGTATTTATCATCACATAAATATAGTTAAAATGGGCCTTGGAGTTTAATTTTAAATTTTACTCTTGAATGGTTCATTACAAATAGTTATTATTTTTTAAAGTTAGTCATATATGTTAGAGTAGGTCTCCTTTATGTCCTGAAAAATACAGATAATGTGTTGATTGTTATGTGAGAGAATTTATGTTATTTTCTATGGAAAAAAGTGCCAATTAAAGAATGCAGATAAAGCAGACCATGTTCAAACTGAAAGCTAAGTGGTGGGTGTGTGTGTGTGTGTGTGTGTGTGTGTGTGTGTGTGTGTATGGTTCTAAAGAAAGTAACAGTGACAAAATGTCAATATATTTGCTCATTCTCACACTTAAAGCCTCCTTGTTTTCTATTCCTCAAAAGCATGGCAAAGGAAGTAGCAAGTGAAATTTCCTAAGTTACTGACTTATTATAGTCTCTCAAATTTTTATTGCAATTATTTTTTTTTTTCTTTGCAGAGATGGCATAGAATTTGCTTTTAAAGAACCTAATCCACAAGGGGAGAGCCATCCACCTTTAAATTTGGCATTTCTTGATATTCTGAGTGAATTTTCTTCTAAACTACTCCGACAAGACAAAAGAACAGTGTATGTATTTGCCGGAAATGTCCTATTTAATTTCCTTTTGGGATTCTTAAGGGCAGTTGTTATACTTGGTTTCTCTTCCTTCTACTCACACAGAGTTGTAGGATTGCATTAATGCGCGAAAAACTTCATACTTCAATGACTTTATAATTTAAGGATTATAACTATGTTTTATACATAATACTCTGATATTGTGAGTTCTCCTCCAGTATTGTTATGGCTTTTGAGGTGTAATTTGAATACATTATTTTTTTAAGAGACTGGACTCACTGTGTTGCCCACACGGCCTCGAACTCCTGGACTTAAGTGATTTTTCTGCCTTAATCTGAGCAGCTGGGACTACAGGCATGAACTACTGTGCTTGGTTGCTTTTTGTGTTCTTATTTGCATTCGTGCCTTAACCGAACTAAGGAGGGAGCATTTAAATTACAATAATAAAGGCAATTCATCAGGAACATCCTTTCGTTCTCTGTATCTTTAGTGCTGGCCACACTGGAAAGTGGAAGTCTCTATATTTCTTTTTACTTTAACTGCTTTTCCCATCTTCAACAGACCATTTAAGCAGGGTACTTTTCTTGTTTAGTCTCCTATAATGGTAACTTGTAAAAGAGCCCCCAAAATGGATTTAAATTCTCAGAAATCTTCTATCTTTCTCCATGGCTTTGAGGTATAAAAGGGCAGAAGAATATGAATACCTCATATTGTAGATAATCTTGTCTAAAAGCCCACTAGTATTTTACATTTAAAGGCTTACAGATTTTATATGAAATTCTAAAGCAGACAAAACCAATGTGATAAAAATTACAGTGGTGGTTACTTCTAGTGTTGGAGAATTTAAATGGGAACACTAGGTTACTAGAGTTCTATATCTTGTTTTATTTTTATTTTTTGAAATGAAGTCTAGTTCTGTCGCTCAGGCATGATCTAGGCCCACTGCAACCTCCACCTCCTGGGTTCAAACAATTTTCCTGCCCCTCAGCCTCTCACGTAGTTGGGATTACAGGCACGCACCACCATGCCTGGCTAATTTTGTATTTTTAGTAGAGACAGGGTTTCACCATGTTGGCCAGGGTGGTCTCAAACTCCTGACCTCTGGTGATCCTCTTGCCTTGGCCTCCCAAAGTGCTGGGATTACAGATGTTAACCACCGTGCCCTGCCGAATTCTGTATCTTGTTAGGTGTGTGGGTCACACAGGTCTATGTTCAGTTGTAAAACTGATACAGCTGTGCTCTTAGTTTTGTGTGTTCTCTTACATATAAATTCATTCCAGTTAAAATTGCATAAGCAGTGTTAGATAAGTAAAAACAATGAAATGCCATTTCTCACCTAGCACATGAGGAAAAATTAAGAAGTCTGATAGTGTCAAATAAATATTGCCAAGGATGTGAGGCAGCAGAGCCTTTTATACATTGCTGGTGACAGTACAAGACCATTTTGTGGAGCTCTTCAGCAGTGCCTAGTAAACTTGAAGATTCTCTCTACCTCATGATCCAGTAATTTCATTCATAATTAGATACCCTACAGAAACTCCTGAATACATGCACACGGAGACTGGTAAAAGAATGATGGCTTTTGGATTGTTTGAAATAGTGAAAAACTCAAAATAACCTAAACACTTATCAACTGAAAATGGATCAATAGATTGATATACAGTGGAATACCATACAACAGTTAAAATTGATAGATTTGGCCGGGTATGGTGGCTCATGCCTGTAATCCCAACACTTAGAGGGGTCGAGGCAGGCACATCACGAAGTGAGGAGTTTGAGACCACCCTGGCCAATATGGTGAAATCCCGTCTATACTAAAAATACAAAAATTAGCCAGACATGGTGGCAAGCGCCTATAGTCCCAGCTACTTGGGAGGCTGAGGTGGAAGAATTGCTTGAACCCAGGAGGTGGAAGTTGCAGTGAGCCGAGATCACGCTGCTGCACTCCAGTCTGGGTGACAGAGCAAGGTTCCACTCCCCCCCCGCCCCACCCCCCATTAAAAAAAAAAAGGCTAGGTTTAAAAAACAATGTTGAGTATAAAGAGCAGAGTACACAAGTGTACTGTATGATGTTTACAGACAACTATGTATTAAAAGTACAAAATATGCATGGCGATGATAAGTAGTGGTAACCTCTGGACACGAGGAAGAAGCAAAATGCGGATCGCTTTAGTGTGGGCTACTTATCTGTAATATCCTTCTTAGGGATGTGGTGGGTACATAATTGTAAATCTCTCTACCAGTGAATATATTTTGGCTCAGGCTTTGCATCTTGTTGCAGACTTAACAGTTTTTGGAGTGATAGCCAGTTCACAGGCCATGCTTGGAGGAGTACTGTACTACTATATATGACTGAAGTGTATTGTAATACAGAAAGACATACTGGGGGTAGGGCGTGGCGGCTCACACCCATAATCCCAGCATTTTGGGAGGTCAAGGTGGGCAGATCGTTTTAGGTCAGGGGTTCGAGACCAACCTGGCCAACATGGTGAAACCCTGTCTCCAAAAAATACAAGAATTATCCAGGCATAGTGGTGTGCAACTGTAATCCCAGCTACTCAGGAGGCTGAGGCAGGAGAATCATTTGAATTCAGGAGACGGAGATTGCAGTGAGCCAAGATGGCACCACTGCACTCCAGCCTTGGTGACAGAGTGAGGCTTGGTCTCAAAAGAAAAAAGAAAGGTATACTGAACAGCTAACAAAGAAGTAGGTTTTGTAAGTGATGTCTCCTATTCTCTTTAATGCTGTTCACACTGGTAAATCTGAATTGATAGAAATTAGTCATTACAAAGACAGCAAATATTTGAATTCTACTTTACAGTTAATTGACAAATAATTGTCTTTAATTATTTGAAGCATAATTTAGCCTTATTGAACTCTTGGTATCAGAGCCTTGGACTTGAATTACGGTTCTGCTGCCTACATATTTTTATTACTGTGGGGTTACTTCTTAATTTTTATCATACTTTGTTTCGTCACCTGTAAAATTGGGAAAACGTTTCACTCATAGAACTGTAAGAATAGTTAAGGAACATGAGAAAAAAATACCTAGCACATACTTGTCACATGAATGTTAGTTGAATTTTGATTGCAAAATTACATATAAGCCTTGAGATACTTGGATCCAAGGGTAGATTTATGATTTCCAAAAGGCCGCAACTTTTTTGCAGGTAGGAATCATATCATATCCATCTTTGTATTTATCCCTAGTGCCTGAGACATAATAGGTGCTCAGCAAATGTTAAATTGAGTGCTCTGAATTATTTCATTTGATATGAAAATCTTGGCGGAGACCACATTGTTCATTAATGTCCTGATGAGGCTGAGTTTGACTAGTGAAGTAATATGCTCTTGCTTACACAACTAGGATTTAATATAACCCACAGATTTTTGTATTAAAGCTAATAGTTTTGATTTCTTTTCAAGGTATGTTTACTTGGAAAAGTTCATGACCTTTCAGATGTCACTCCGAAGAGAGGATGTGTGGCTACCACTGATGTCTTACCGAAATTCTTTGCTAGCTGGTGGTGATGATGACACCATGTCAGTCATTAGTGGAATCAGCAGCCGGGGGTCAACTGTGCGGAGTAAAAAATCCAAACCATCTACAGGAAAACGGAAAGTGGTTGAGGGCATGCAGCTTTCACTCAGTAAGGATATAATTTATTCTCTTTATATTTATTCCTAATGTTTACCAACTGAATTGTCATTAAGGTTCACCTTATTTCTTATCTGAAATGTGCTCGGTAATAGCTTACAAAATGTGTCCGTTGTGTGTAAACATGCCGTTGTAAGTATTTTACATGCATAAACTCAGTTCTCACAACTTTTTGGGTACATCTTCATTTTTTAGATGACAATATTTAGCATGGAGAGATTAAGTAACATACTCATGTCACACAGTTATTAAGTTAGAACCATGCAGTTTCACTCTAGAGTGACTGCTTTTTAAAATCTGTGCTACACTGTATGCGTAGGGAAATGAACTCAGTATTATAGAGCTAGTTATTACTCAAGAGATCGGATCTTCTAGTTAAGGTAGAACAACAGATTCAGAGAGGTTTTAACTTCTGAATTTCTATGAAGAGGCCATTAATCATGAACAATTTCATAGAGATAGAGAGCTATCATATTAGAGGTAGGAATGCATTATGACGCTTGAAGCTCTTAGACTGCTAGCACTCCAGAGTTGGTTCAAAATGGGCTTGGGGACTTTTTTCTTTTTCTTAAGAACTATTAAATTAGCATAGTTGTCAAAATTTGTCCCAGTTATTATTGTTGAATAGCAAACTACCTTAAAACTTAGGACATAGCCAGGACCACGGTGTCTGGTGCCTCAGCTGGAAGGACTCAAAGACTGGTGGCTGAAATCATATGGAGGCATCTTCACTTACATATCTGATGCATATCTTATGCTGGCTGTCATTTGGGACCTCAGCTGTACTGTCTGCCGGAACACCTACATGTGACTTTTCCATGTCAGCATATCACTAGGCTCCAAGAGCAAGTGTCCCAAAAGACCACAATTGGAAGCTGACAATTTCTTAAGCCCTGGGCCCAAAAACTGGCATAGCATAATTTCTGCCATATTCTATTGGCCAAGCAATCAGAGATTCTACGGGAAAGGGCATAATTCTCTACCTCTTAATGTGAGGAATGTCAAAGAATTTTGGGGTCACATTTTTAAATTGCCACATAACTCATCAACTTTCATTTGTCATCAAGTGTATCGTGTTTAAAACTTGATTGTCATGTGAATTGTATCTTTTGTCCAGTAGTATAAAGACATACATAACCTTATATTTCTAACTTGTACAGTTTTACACTGGTTAGTTATGTAGTCCCAACATCACAGTTGATGGGGAAATCTCTTTTATTATCCTGGATTAAATTAGTTAGGGCTGATGATTTATAAGTTAAACTTTTCTGTTCCTTAAATAGAAAATGCTATCAAATTAAAAGATGATGTTTCCTCGTATCACTAAATTTTTGAAAGTTTTTCTCATCTGAACCAGTAGTTAATTTTTATAGATGTATGCTGGGCCATCAAATCTCTCTGTCTCTCTTTTTAGACCTCATGGAAACACATATGAATTGGCATTTATATTACATTTCACAAATAGATTATTAAACCAGATATTCAATTTTTACAGGAAGAGTCAATGCTCTTATTCAGGTTTTTGGAGAGAACCATAGAAATTGAGACATTAGTAAGTTAAAAGGAAGTATGAATACTGATAGGTTGGCCAATTAAATGCGATTTTGAAGACAATATTGAAGCCTAAATACAGTAGAACTTAAAGGCTGATGTAATTATATTGCAAAATGTGGAGTTAATGTTTATTATTAGAGTACTAACCATTCATGCTTTTTTCTTCTACTCTTATTTCTTAAACCTTAAACACATTTGCACATATGTATAATCATCATCTTTTTTTTTTTTTCTTTTTGAGACAGAGTCTTGTACTGTTGCCCAAGCTAGAGTGCAGTGGCGCGATCTCGGCTCACTGCAACCTCCACCTCCCGGGTTCAAGCAATTCTTCTGCCTCAGCCTCCTGAGTAGCTGGGATTATAGGTTCCGCTTACCATGCCTGGCTAATTTTTGTATTTTTAGTAGAGATGGGATTTCACCATCTTGGCCAGGCTGGTCTCGAACTCCTGACATGATCCATCTGCCTCAGCCTCGCAAAGTGTTGGGATTACAGGCGTGAGCCACTGCACCCGGCCTCATATGTATAATCTTCTAATGAAATAGTTTTCTTCTAAATTCACAATCACAAAGTGCTGTCAGTTTTTTTCTCCCAGGTCAGTGATTTTTAAAAATTACTATTCAGTAACAATTGCACACAAATTTGACTTACTAATTATGGCAACATTTACAGACATTTGAAAAAGTAGCTTTTGCAGGTATGAAACCTTTTTCTCTTTAGTTCAGTGCTTAACATCCGTATGGATTTGCGGCCCCCTTGCAGTTGCTCTTACTACCTGCTCAGTGGTCTGCATCCCATAGATTTGGGAACCAATTTTCTGTTACTACGTCTCACTCACCTAGGCCACACAATTAGTCTCCTAACTGGTCTGTTTGCTTACCAGTATTCTGTTTTTAAGTTCACTCCCCACGCTGCCACCACATTGACTAAAACATGTAACCCACCAAGTTGCTTCCCTGCCTTAAAACTTTCAGCAGCAGTTTCCTGTTACCTTAGCAGAGCTCACAAGATTTTCCACAATTTGATTCCTGCTTCTTTATCCAGCCTTGTCTTTTGCCTACTCTTTAAATCTTTATGCCCCGGGAATAGCAAACTTTTAGTTTTGAACCATGTGAAATTGCCCTTTTTGTAGGTCAAATATCAGCAGATTAATAGGGTTCAGGCAACCAGGTGCAGTGGCTCATGCCTATAATCCCAGCACTTTGCGAGGCTGAGGCCGATGGATCATGTCAGGAGTTCGAGACCATCCTGGCCAAGATGGTGAAACCCTGTCTCTACTAAAAATACAAAAATTAGCCAGACATGGTAACGCATTCCTGTAATCTCAGCTACTTGGGAGGCTGGAACAGGAGAATTACTTGAACCCAGGAGGTGGAGGTTGCAGTAAGCCGAGATTGTGCCACTACACTCCAGCTTGGGTGACAAAGTGAGACTCTGTCTCAAAAAAAAAAAAAAAAAAAAAAAAAAAGAATTAATCCTTGTTTCCTGCCGTAGTGTTCTTGCTTTATGTTCTTCTCCCTGCCTAGAATGAAAAGCCTTCCCAGTCGACCTGATACCTACTCTAGTTAGAAGTTGCTTCTGGATAGCTCTCTCTGACCCATTTCACTGCCCCCGTTCCCCTTGTGCCTCCCTCTCTCCTTGCATTTACCACATTGTATTTTTTTTTTTTTTTTTTTTTTTTTTGAGACAGAGTTTCACTCTTGTTGCCCAGGCTGGAGTCCAATGGCGCCATCTTGGCTCACCGCAACCTCTGCCTCCCAGGTTCAAATGATTCTCCTGCCTCAGCCTCCCAAGTAGCTGGGATTACAGACATGTGCCACCATGCCTGGCTAATTTTGTATTTTTCAGTAGAGACGGGGTTTCTCCATGTTGGCTGGTCTCGAGCTCCCGACCTTCGGTGATCTGCCCATCTGGGTGTCCCGAAGTGCTGGGATTACAGGCGTGAGCCACCACGCCCGACCACCGCATTGTGTTTTAATTGCCTGGTTGTTTTTGTTTACAACTAGACTCTATGGCCGGGTCAGGGACTGCCCCTTAGGTTTTTGTTCCCCTGTTCCTATGACTAGCATGTGGAAAGCAACAGATGTTTATTGATCTGAACAGGTTGTATTAGATATCTGAATAGTCAAAATTAGTGACTAAACCTCGTTGTTGTTAATTTTCTTTTCCAGCTGAAGAAAGTAGTAGTAGTGATAGTATGTGGTTAAGCAGAGAACAAACACTGCACACCCCTGTTATGATGCAGACACCACAGCTCACCTCCACTATTATGAGAGAGCCCAAAAGATTACGGCCTGAGGATAGCTTCATGAGTGTCTATCCAATGCAGACTGAACATCATCAAACTCCTCTTGATTATAAGTAAGTACATTTGTACATTTTCTGTACTGTAACTTTATTAATTACATAGAAAAAGTTAAGTTAAAAGAAGAATAAAATTCTCCTTGAAGCACGCAGGTAACATGGATGTTAGCTCAAAGACAACAAGAGGAAGCAAGGCAACAGCAGGAGAGAGCAGCAATGAGCTATGTTAAACTGCGAACTAATCTTCAGCATGCCATGTAAGTGAGAGTGCCTTATTGTCTGAGTCTAGGAAGTTCACTAATTCATTTTAACATTTTAATGTGTGCCTTATTTAAAAATTTCAGCAAACTCTCTAGAGTAACTTAAGCTGAAATAATCAAGGAACTAAAAATTGGTCTTTCCAACAGAATAACAAAATATTTTAATTTAAATATTACCTAGTTAGCCAAAGGACCAATCTTAGGTTGATCTGTTGGAAAAGTTTAAATAATCAATCCTTGTTTATTTTGGTACACAGCATTAAAAATACAGTTCTGTTACGTCCTAATTGATTTTCCCAACTTAGTTCAGGCCCTCATCTCTCACCTGAACTATTGTATTAGCTTTCTAACTGGTTTTCTTCCCTCAAATCTCCCATTTATCTTCTCACCAAACCTTTCCCTTCACCCTCCCCCCACTCCATCATTCACACCGCCATCAAGAATTACTATTCTAGAATAAAAATCTTACCATGTAACTCTTACTTAAAACCTTTCTGTGGCTCCCTATTGCCTGCTGGATAAACTCCAGACTTCCTTAGCTCATGGCATGCAAGATGTTTCAAAATATGGCCCCTGCCTACATTTTAGTATCATTTCCTATTCCCTGGCAGCTGGTAAAATCATCATAAAAGAACAAGTTCAGGTGTCACCTTAACTGAAGCTTTGGTCATCTATACTCCCATAACACTATGTATATCCATATTTCTTATAGAACTTACCATGTTGTATTGTAAATATTTGTTTATGAGTTTGTCCCTTTTGTCTAGACTGTGAGCTCCTCAAGGGCAGGGACCACATTCATTGCCTGTCAGTGCTTGGCACATAAAAGGTGCTAAGTAAATGTTCATTGGATGAATAAATGTTCAGTGCTGAAAAAAATGTAGTTTACCTTTTAAATACTTTGTTTTTACTGGATTATGTATGATAACTTTATAAATCTTTTTGCAATCTTCATTAGCTTTGGTTCCAGAAGAAGTGGCAGACAAGCAGTATTTAGATAATTTTTTAAAATGTCTTGATTGGTATACAGGGAAAAATGTGATGATTCTGATTAAGTTTTTGAGTTTGAAAGCATTGTATTTATAATGTATAAGTTTTACTATTGGGAGGCAGTAGTTGTTACCCTCTTTTTTTTAAAATTTATATTTTGTTCTGTTTTGTTGGTTTTTAGATAAGAATTTTACCTGTTTTTCTTATAA